TGGACAATAACGAGATCTTTGCAAACAAACTATCCAAACTGTGGAGAACTCAATCTTAAAACCTTAGTATCAATTAGATCGATGCTAATTTCGTTTATTGGTGGTAACATTATCAGTATTAATACGAAAGATTAAAAACATAGGATGTGACTTAAGAAGAAAATACTGGTTTATTGAATGCCTACACGGCTTAGTCCAACCGTCAGTGACCTTATGGACTGATGTCATATCTTGGTTTGTCTCTCTCTAGCTCTCTTCTCACCTACTCCTACACCTTCAAATGCCCTGGTACAGCCGAGAGTGGGGAGAGTCCGCTCTCCCTCTCGGAATGCTCTCACACGGCCACGCGTATATAGCCTCTGCCAGGGAAGTCCTACTCACTGCCTTCTCTCACCTGGGTGTTGTTTACGAAAATGAGAGGACGAAAAGTGAATGTCCGGCGCTTTAACCGGATCCTAAATCAATGGTGCACATGGGCTCCAGTATCCTGCGGGAACGAATGGCGTATGAACCAATTTTCGGTCACCGGCTACCATGGGAATGCATCTCCTTACGATGCTCCACTGCCTTGTGGGTTAGACCTTTAGGTCAAAGGCTCGGGGTGTGGCCCCCTAAGATAACCACCCGCTTCGGTCTTGGTACCCGGGCAGTACCACAGCCCACACGCAAATGATGAACTCTCTGTATCTATGGAAACTACATTTCTCGCTCCGAATAACAGTCAAATGATCCAAATTATTACCATTACTATTATTATTATTATTATTATTATTATTATTATTATTATTATTATTATTATTATTATTATTATTATTATTATTTACTACATCATTATTCACCCTCTTTTATTCCTACTCCGTCTATACTTATTTTTTCGGTTTATACAGCAGCTCGTCTTTGGTGGAAATTCGACTCTATCTAAACGTTTTCGAGTCACTGTCTGGTTGAAAATTCTATGTTACCACCGAATATGAGTACTGAAGCAGTTTTTCTGAAACCACATGAACCATTCAAACTGGCTGCCTTCAACGTTCGCACATTTATGCAGGTCGGACAACAGATAGGGCTGGCTATGTCTTTGGAAAGTCTTAATATCGATGTCTGCTGTCTATCCGAGACCCGTATTCAAGACTCTGGTGAAGTACTACAAATTCGATCTCCATCTGTCGCTTCGAAAAGCTTGTTTTACGTGCGCTTATCCGGGGACCCTGTGGCATCTTCGTCTGGTCTTGCTGGCGTTGGTGTCGCACTAAGCGCTAGAGCTGAGGCAGCACTAGTCGATTGGATCCCCATTAACAGTCGGTTATGTGCTGTTAGATTAGAAGGTTCCAGCAAAGTGAGGAGAAATCGGCGTGAGAAACGATGTCTTTTCGTCATCTCCGCCTATGCTCCGACAGATTGCAGCCCGGATGCAATCAAGGATGAGTTTTACCACCAGTTATCTGTTCTTCTCCAGAAAGTGCGTTCGACAGATATTGTAGTACTAGCCGGAGACTTGAATGCTCAGGTCGGGCGTCTAGGCACAGAAGAGAGTCGTTTAGGTGGCGAATGGGGACTTGTTGGTCGCAGGACAGATAACGGGGACCGTCTACTGCAACTATGCACAGACCACAACCTGTTTCTGGCTAACACTAACTTCGGCACAGTCATCGCCGATGTGCCACCTGGCGTCCTCCCTCTGCATCTCAAGCCTGGACTCAGATTGATCACATCGCGATCAGCTACCGCTTGCGTGGTTGTGTACAAGACTGCCGCTCCTTCTGGAGTATCTATCTGGACTCTGACCATGCTTTGGTCTGCGCCAATCTTACCTTACTTTTCAGTGGCCAACGAAGTGACCGCCATCAACGGATTGATATTAGCAAGCTGGTTGCAACTTCTGTTGCTAGTAAGTATCGAACCGAGCTAGTTTCTAGGCTAGCTACCATTCCACTGAAACGTATAGATGAGCATTGGTTGCAATTGCATGACGCCATGAAAATGGCGGGTAAAGTCAGTTGTGGGTTCGCAAAACGTCCCGCTTATAAGCACTGGGTTTCTTCTGGTTCCTTACAACTCACTGAAGCCCGTCGGTCTACTCCGGGTGACTGTGAGTTTGACCACAAACGAAGGATGTTACGTAAGGAAATTGGGCAAAGCTTGCGTAAGGACCGAGAAGCCTGGTGGTCGGAGCGTGCTAATGAGCTGGAAGCAGCAGCTGCATCTGGTAATTACCGGAAGCTCTTCCAACTCATCCGAGCCACTGGCAGCAAGAAGTCTGATGTGAGTGAAACAATCTGCGAGGATGACAGGATGCCAGTCACTAACATCCATCGACGTCTTAGACGATGGGCAGAATTTTTCGAAGGGCAGTTCAACTGGCCTGCTGCTCCGGCAACATCGGTCAGACTGTCCTGTCCTCCATGGCCGGTGACGATTGATCCACCAAATGAGGAGGAAGTCCGCAAGGAACTCCAACTCTTGAAGCGCTACAAATCACCTGGCTCAGACGAATTACCTCCGGCTTTTTTTAAAGATGGTGGTGACTTTTTGACTAAGGAATTGACGACGTTGTTTACAAAGGTTTGGGAACTAGAGAGTGTACCAACGTCATGGAATGAGTCGATAGTTGTCCCTATCTTTAAAAAGGGTTCAAGTCGTTCTTGTAACAACTATCGGGGGATAAGTCTACTTCCGATTGCGTCCAAGCTATTGGCTTCCGTCATACTTCGTAGGTTGTTCAAAACCCGAGAAAGACTGACTCTCGAGGAGCAGGCTGGTTTTCGTTCCGGCCGAGGATGTATTGATCATATCTTCACCCTCCGCCAAATGTTAGAACACCGTCATACTTGTCAAAGGCCAACAATCGTAGTGTTTCTTGACATCAGGGCTGCCTTCAATTCGTTGGATAGGACTGTTCTCTGGGATTGTCTATTGAAGAAGGGTGTGCCTGAGAAGTTTATTAACATCCTAAAAGCCCTATATACAAACAACTCGGGTAGAGTGAAGGCATACAACCACCTCTCTCCATTGTTCCATTCGAGCAGTGGGGTTAGGCAGGATTGCCCAATCTCACCATTCCTCTTCAACTTTGCCATCGATGACATTCTGGAAACAGCTCTGATGGATGTAGGTAATGGCGCTGTGGATCTGTTGCCTGGAGAAAGACTTCTCGACCTTGAGTATGCGGATGATATTGTCTTACTGTGCGACAATGCCCAAGGCATGCAATGCACACTTAATCAGTTGGGAATCAGTGTCCGTAGGTATGGTATGTACTTTGCACCTTCGAAGTGCAAAGTACTTCTACAAGACTGGCAGAATTCTAACCCTGTACTCACTCTGGATGGTGAGCAGATAGAAGTAGTCGAGAAGTTCGTGTATCTGGGTAGCTGTGTGAGTGCTGGTGGTGGTGTGAGTGATGAGATCAGTGCATGCATTGCTCGTATATCGTGGGACCACCGAGTAAGTAATGCAGTTGTTAGGAAACAGGTACTAGGTGGGGATGGCAAATCAATTGATGAAGTAGTAAAACTGCATCAGTTGAGATGGCTGGGACACGTGTTACGTATGCCCAACGACCGACTACCTCGACGTGCTATGTTCAGTGGTATAGGAGTAGGTTGGAAGAAAGCTAGGGGCGGCCAGACCAAAACATGGCACAAGTCCATGAAGTCACTGACAAATGGACTGAGTCATGTTGGTAGGTGTAGACTACCTGGTTGGGGACCACGAGATGATAGCAACCGATGGTTAGAGACCCTGAATGACATTGCTTGGAATCGTTTGGAATGGCGCAGGTGCATGCACTCTTTGTGTTCTCCCAAATTCTAATCTTCTGAATTCTTCATGTCCCTTTTTTCCACTTTCCAAATTTATTTCACTGGATTATACTCTTTAAATAACATCTCCAAACCCTAATCTTCTCGATTACTGCTTATACTCTTATTACCTCTACCACTACGGGATTTGAATCGACAACTGTATCTCTGTGCTAATGTGGTGTGGCAACTCGAACTGATGTACGCACGTACGAAGTTCTACGTTGTTACTGACTGACTGACTGACTGACTGACTGACTGACTGACTGACTGACTGACTGACTGACTGACTGACTGACTGACTGACTGATGTATAGTGAAAGCCAGAGCGGCTTATGCCAATCTGGGCCACCTTTGGCGCCTTCGTGATGTTAGTCTGGCTGTAAAAGGTCGGATCTACAATGCGTCGGTGAGAGCAGTTTTGCTCTATGCTTGTGAAACCTGGCCTCTCCGAGTTGAGGACGTTAGACGACTCTCTGTGTTCGATCATCGTTGTCTCCGAAGGATTGCTGACATCCAGTGGCAACACCATGTCAGTAATGCAGAGGTTCGGCATCGTGTGTTCGGGCACAGAGATGATAATGGAATTGGTGTCACTGTCTTGAAACACCGACTTCAGTGGTTTGGACATGTTCTACAAATGTCGTCCCAGAGAATTCCACGTCGTGCATTATTTGCTGACTCTGGGACTGGTTGGAAGAAGCGGAGAGGTGGTCCGTATATGGCATGGTGTCGTGGTATGAAAGAAAGCTGTAAAGGACTGGCTTCTGTCGGTCCTTCACGACTCCCTGGCTGGGGTCCGAGAGATGGTGTGATACAGTGGCTAGAGACGTTATCAGATATGGCTCAGAATAGAAGTCAGTGGCGATCCTGCTGTAACCTTTTACTTTCTTCATAAAAAGTGGTTGTCTCCCTTAACTGAAAGATTTCTTCTGATTGTACCTGTCTGTTCCGCCATTTTTACCATCATTATTATTACACCAACTTACATCAATCTCTTTTTTTCTCTTTTTTTTCTCCTTCCCCTTAAATTCTCATTGTTTTGCATGGTGCATATATATTTGGCACATTCTTGTACCAATATTTATGTGTTCAAATAAAATAAATAATAAAATAACTCCTACACCAGCCACCAGTATGCATTGAGATAGTCGGTATTTACGTACACGCAAAACAAGTCACAACCGTTTCAGTCGATGAGGAATAGATACCTCATCAATTTTACGTGTTATCCTTCATCTAGCCTCAGCATTAATCACTTGATAGTCCCAAAATATATGACCAGTGTTTTGAAGTCCTGTTACCCCTCATGGAGGAGCATAGACAGCCCACCAGTATTCTCCATCTAACTTTGTCCTGGGCAATCCTTTCCAGTTGCTGTTCGTCCTTTCGATATGTGCTTCCAATTCTCGATACAGTGTGTTCTTTAGTCTTCCTCTTTTGCGCTTCCCTTGAAGATTCCAAGTTAGTGCTTGCCTTGGAATGCAGTTTGGTGATTTCCGCAATATGTGTCCTATTCGCTTCCAAAGTCTTTTCCTAATTTCCTCTTCACCTGGAAGTTGGTTCTTTCTCTTCCACAGTAGTTTGTTGTTGATAGTATCCGGCCAACGGACATTGAGTATATTGTGTAAACAACTGTTTGTAAATACTTTTACTTTTTTGATGGTGGTTGTGGTAGTCCTCCAAGTTTCATCTCCATACAGTAGAACTGTCTTGGCCTTCGTATTGATGATTCTGTCTTTGACATTGTTTGAAATTTGTTTTGAATTATATATGTCTTTCAACTGTAGAAATGCTGTCCTTGCTTTGCCAATCCTTGCCTTTACGTCTGCTCCGGGTCATCCACGTTCATTGATGATGCTTCATAGGTACGTGAATGATTCCACATCTTCCAGTTTCTCCATCAAGTGTGATCGGGTTGGTGTTCTCCGTGTTGTATTTGAGGATCCAGCTTTTTCCCTTGTGTATGTTGAGGCTTACTGCTGCACAGGCTGCTGCTATAATGGCTGCCTTAACCTGAATTTTTTGGTCAGTCGGCACTAGCGCGTAGTTGGAGAAGAATTTAGAATATTTTTATTGGAATTCTTACTCCCATTCAACCTTGTTTATTTGCCATATAATTCCATTCCTACTCAACCGTGTTCTGATCTGGGGACTTGTCAAGTGAAGTAGTGTCCGAAGAATACTAAGCCATAAGAGTGATCATAACACTGGTAAGTTAGGAAGGTTGTCTGTTGTTGTTTATCATGTCTGCCTTTTTCATTCCGTTTTCTTTCGCTTTCAACGACCAATCACGACCATTGGATAGACCTTTTGTCATTCTGTTTCTAAGTAGTTTTAGATCCTCATCGTTTTCTGAGTCTGATGCGAGGAGTTTTCGAGCATTTATCAATTGAACAAATGCTACAGAAATACACTGATTTTTCCCAACCTTTTGGTTCAAGTCACTTGAAGATATCACTTCTGTTTTTCACAGCTAATTGGATTTAATTTGAGCCTACAACACCTTGCTGATTGACTTACTACTTCTTTAGTTGTTTCGGAGATATTTTTAAAACTTTTCCACTGTTAAGCGGAACCCCAATTGGTCTTCCTTTTGGGGGGTTTCTGCTTCTAGGGAGGTGCAAATAAACACTTGCCACACATTAGAGCATGATCAGAATCTTAAAATGCGCTTCAGAATGAATGGGATTGTTCTGTTGAGATTTTGCAACTATGCTTGATGACAGTGCAGCTTATTCAATTCCATCATCGAGTCGGTTGTAGAGGTCACCATTTCAAATAGTGTCTGTTTTTATACTTAACATTGGCACTTGGTAAGAATAAACATTTGGATGAGCGAATTTTCAGCAGATGATTCTCAGTTTCTGTGCGTTTAGCTAGATTACTGTAAGACCCATTTAATTGTCTCGTTGGCTTAGACTATCTATTCAAGTATTAAAATCATGTGGTAATATTATGATATATGAGCGATTGACTTTTTGATCGAGAATTGAAAGCTCTCTATAACACTCATCCTTTACTTCATCGGATTTGCAGTCAGTGGGAGCGTAGGCGTAGATGGCGGCGAAGCAATGGCGTGTATCTCTATATCTCCTTTCCCTTGCGTTCTCGCACACAGGCGACTGGCTATCGGAATCAAGTTTACGAGAGCCTGTTCTGCTTTCAGCGAGGCCATAAAAGGTGGTAGTCAAGTCTCCTGATGCGCGAAGGATAAATCGCACCAGATTTCTTTATTGAGTAGGTGAGGTCAAGTTAATTACTAAGCTCTGATCTTGTTTGTGTATTTTGGAAAAATAGCATATATCGATAGCACAAAACTAGTGTTATGATTACTCTTATTACCACCCAGCTACTCCTATTGCTTAGTATTCTTGGACATTACTTCACTCGACAAGTCCCCAAATCAGAACACAGTTGAACAGGAACGAAATTATATTCCAAATAACATTGGTAAACGTAATTAGGAAACACAATAAGAAAAGTGTTAGTATATTTATATTTTGACATAAGAAGATTCTAGATTCTATTTCAAGTATCGACTATCGCTGATTGGATAAGAAATAGTCAATCAGCCTGTTCCAACGTAATCATGCACGGAACGTGCTTTAATACAATCTATATTCCGCTAACATCGATTTTCATCTGAAGTCTATTGCCCAAATTGACATGAGAAACAAACAATGAAAACTTCAACATATAGTTTCGAGCTCTGTTTTCGAAGACCAGGAATACATTTCCGTGAACTCGAATTTTTATTATTGGTGGCACGTGTAGATAACGATAGAGTTATAGAACAAGAGTTAGTATTGGGGATAGAAAAAGTATTATGAAGTGACAAAGAGGTCCGCTCATGGACAACAGAGTATCGAGTATGGGGGCGCTTATGACTTTCCTGTTGCCCACATCGTGGAAGGATATTTCTTGATGGATCCGAATGGGAAACTAGGTTAGTAGAGAAATCTTAGATAACTGAGAGCGTGACCGCAAAGCCCAAGGGATAACAGCTTAAGGCCGGTTACATAAGGTACTTTTTTCGATAAGTCTTTGATGTAATTAAGGTCCGTTCCTCTTCTCACTGAAATACCTGTTTGTTCAATTTTTTTTTCGATACAGTACAGAAGTAACAAAATATATGAGTTCATTTAATATTAAATTACAATTGGTCCATTGTAAGCAACAACTCACTCTTATATTTGAACGTTTGGGTCGTTATCCTTTACTTTTAAAAGAAATGGAACGCTATTTAGAGGTATGTTGATTAAACTTATAAAGTTCAATTAATTTCGTAGTATGGCTGTACTATCAAACATTATTGTTTGTGCTTCTCTAAGTTATTTCATATAACATGGCTCCGTCAAAAACGGGGTCTGTAGATATTAGTATATATCAAAAGTAATGTCGGTAAGCGATCGCTTGTCAACTCTTTCCTACAGCTGACTACTATCTGTTACTTCACTGAAATTTGATTAAATTGTAGTTGACAACCGCGTAACCGTGCTAGATGATGTAATCGTGTCGTTTGTTGTTTAACAACTGGCCAATTATCATTGCGTAGTAACGAACAATCTGTGAGAAACTATTTTCTTATATCTTTCAACGTCGTTTACATTATGCAATCATAATCTTTATTATCATGAAATCTTGAGTGTCGGAGAGGAGTCGACGAGAAAATCAGTTTTACATTAACAGCTAATTGTTTTTTAAGATCCTTTGAATCAACACCATATTTTCTCTCTTAATGGCAGTGGAGACAATTAGGGGAGCAGTTTTTCTGAGTTTTAGTATGATAGGATATGTGTATAACATTTATATGTTGTGTTTGTGTACATGAAATTGGTTTTTTATCTTAAGCATTAAGATATTATCATAAAAATGCTAAAAGAACTACCTCAGTGAATATTCTTTTTTTAAATACTTCCTTGTAATTACCTTCATAAAAGTAGAACTGCTTATTGTTTTTGACTATGCAACTGCATGATGGAAAACGGATTCGAATATTTATGTTTACCTTAGTCACATGCATTCTATATGATGTTGATCATATTTTGATATACCCAAGAAGGTGTAAATGTGTAATTTTTGTGAACGGTTTTAGAAGTTCAGAAGAATACATCTTAGCACACATTTCGGCCATAAATCTGACATATGTGATTGAGTAATACCGCCACTGTAACATGCTGTCTCTGAGATTTTGTGAACTAGAAAATGCAAGAAACCAATTCACTTTACATTTTTATCGGATAAGTAATTGATTGAACTGTTCTCATGGTGGTTCTGTAGTTTAATTTAACTTATCGAAGTATTTAGCAGAGCCCTTAGAATAGTCAAGACACTTCTAAACCAAACATTACTTTTGAAAGTTCATAACATATCATACAGTAAACCATATCAGTGCATTTCATTCAATCTTATTGAGATACTATGGGAAATGCTACCAGTTCCGATAATGCTGTTTAGGACATCATAAACTTAGCGGTCGTGATTTGTTCTTCTTTCCAAGTTCTTCGGTTTTAGCGTAAAGGAGGATTGTGAGTTAAAACTGTCAATGTAATTAACTGTATAAATGCGAAGTCTAAACTTAAGATAATATTGGTAAAGTTATCTCGCTTTTTCTTTAGGAGCCACATGTTGATCGACCCGACATTCTTCGTGCAATGAATGTTTATAGTGAAATAACAGTGAGTTTTGAAATTTTCGTATCATTACTTGATTGATTAACCTTATTCAGTACATTGATAACTAACTAACTAGCTAACACACATTTAAATTATGAGGGCTAGTGATACTACCTGATTGCCTGAACGCAATTAGATGAAACAGGTTTGAACTTGCAACTTAGTAACTGAAAGTCGAACGTTCTGACCACTGAGCAAACACTCCACTAATTAGGTTCTCATTGATTTGGTTCCATGACAAATAATCCCACGCATAGGTTAAGTTAGTATGTGAGCTATACTTAGTTACCTGAGGGCAAATAAGTGTATGGACAGGTAGGAATAAGTTCAATAATTTTAGACTTCTAAGTTTAGTGATCAAGATTTTATAGCTACAAATATTTGAGCGACAGTTTTTGTTGTAAACATTTCACATGATCCATGCTCACATATCGTATCTATATGGTACTTTTGTAACGTGAATTCAAATTCATTGTCAAATGGTAAAGTAAACTGAATCATTGAGTTAGTACATTGCAAGATAACAGATTTGTGGATTCCTAAATAGCACCAGTATTAAGATAGTCTTAACCAAGAGGTTAAATAAATAATGTTCACAAATCTCTAAACAAATCCTATTCGGTAAAAAACTATGAACGATTTTGTGTTTCTTTTAATCGTTACCAATCTTCGTTAACTAATATACGATGTACAGTAAATATTCAGCTATTATTGTCACATAATATCGTCGTCAGGTAACTGTCCAGAGTGAAGGTTTTATACAAACATTGGTATACGGAGGTACCAAATTGTTATAATTTTCTCTTATTACAACCCAGCTATTCCTATTGCTTATTATTCTTGGATACCAATTCACTCGACAAGTCCCCAAATCAGAACACGGTTGAACAGGAAAGAGATTATATTCCAAATAACAAGGTTATATAGAAGTAATAAGCACAATAGGAAAAACGTTAGTATATTTATAGTTACACATGAGAAGATTTCTAGTGTTCTCCAAGTATCGACTAGCGCTGATTGGATATGAATTAGCCGATCAGCGTGCACCAAATCAATTGTGTGTGGAGCATTCTTTAATCCAATCTATGTCCCACTAACAAAAATGTACATGTAATATTGTCCGAGCGCCCTAACTGAAGTAGGTGATTTCTTATAAGACCACTCTTCGAGCCTTTAACCTAGAGGTCTAATCCACAAGGCAGTGGAGCAACGTTAGGAGATGGATTACCATGATAGCCGATGACCAACAATAGGTTGATACGCCATTTGTCCCCTCAGTATACTGGAACCCATGTGCACCATTAGTTTGGAATCAGGGTTTTCCAACTCCGCTATGTAAATCCTCCGTACCCACTAAAGTGGTTAAAAACACTGGATATTCGCCTTTCGTCCTCTTAATTTTGTAAACAACACGGGAAAGTAGTGAGTAGGACTTCCCTGGCAGTGGCTGTTTACACGTGGTCATGTGAGAGCATTTGGAGAGGAAGAGCTGACTCTCCTACCCTCGGCCGTAACAAGGCGTTTTGGGAAAGTGAAGGTACTTTGTTATGTATGTTAATAAACGCTTATGTGCAGGAATTTGAAAGAGATTGGGCGTAAGCTGATGGCTCATTAAGCGCATGAAATCTACTTACTTTCAACCAGTGAAAGCAATTGCCAAAAATCACGAATAACATTGTACTTAGTTCGTTGTTCTAATTGATCTCAAGTTAATAAAATGAACTGTGTTTCAAAAATTAATTGTATATCATGTTTATTCGAAACAATTAGGTAATTGAAACAGCAATCAAATAAGGTGAGGTCTCAAACGTTTTACATTCAAAAAGTATAAGTTTCCAACTTTTATTTGTTTTTCTTTCTAACAATAAATAAATAGGAAAGGTGTGCAATCCTTAGAAAATTTAAAGAGTATGATATCAATGTATTGCTGTCAGTAATAAATGGATGGCGAGGACCGGTAAGTTATTTTTTATGCAGCATACCGTTAGTTTTTCCGACTTTGCTGAAGCTTCTCGTCTATAAGTTTGTTTCTGTACATGTTGATAACAAGTTTTACAAGTGTTTTTGTAATACAGCTTCATTAACATTGTCCATCATTCCATATGTTCCAATAATGTGATAAATAGATTTGACGTCGTTATCTGATAGTTATTTTAACAATCTACTAAGTGAATTGTTTTATTCACAATATTGATTAGTTGGACAGTTCGTAACTTTCCATGGCTAACGCACATTTTTGACCTTGGGATTGTCTTTCTCATTCATCCCTGCAAATTTCTGAATACTTCCATACACATATACACTCATACGTATATTCATATTTATATAGGTATAAACACATACGTTTTTGTAGATACTTCCATAGTTTTCCTTCGCACGACTTGTCATTGATTCGTTTCTGTTTCTGTTATATCACATATCATATATATTAGTTTTATTTTGGATGTCGAGCAGTGTTGTGCTCATTGGCATTGAATAGAAACTTCTCAGAAACATCTAGGAAATAAAAAATCATGTGTCACGTCTTAAATTGTATATTTACTGGCATCATTACCACGTTAAGTATTTTTCCAGAAGGTTCTAGAGTCCCAAGGCCATATATAAGTCTGTAGGTTCTCTTGATTTTGCTATATTTGAAGCGATTACGAGTTCACCTAGTCTGCGAACGGAACAAAGACTTTGTGACTAAAGACCAATAAGCTAGCTATTCTAATGCTTCCCGGCCCATCTAACTAGAGAAAGAAGTCGATGTTCGAACGGGGAAATATATTCCTTAAGCAACCAGAAGCACGACCGATAACAACAGACACGAATCAAACGTATATATACAGCATAAGACTGTCCTTGGGAAGCGTTACAAAATAGCATACTAAAAGATACAACGGACCAATAGCGTTTAAGTTTCTCCCAAGTGGGAAATACGACATGAAAGTTAAAAGAGCGCTTTTGGCGCGAAAACAAAGAAATTCAATTTCTCAAAATAAAATTACAAAAATAAGGTACTTACCAAGTGTATTCTGGGGATCTAACATCCCCAACAGATTTCCTGTACATAAACTAATCTTGCAGTAAATCTCTCACAGTTGTATTGTTAAAGTTGTTAGCCATCATAGAAAGCGGCTTAAAAGGGAGAAATAAGCGTTTCAGTGGTTGACTTGTCACGTCCAAATCAAAGTTTCTAAAAAATGCTTTTTATTTCGAGTTTATTTATTCGACATGACATTACGTGGTATCTTTTTACTCCCAAAGGATTCTAGGATTTCACTAATCAGTCACTGGCCCTCTCTGTTGATCAGATTCTTTAGACCAAGTTCGTCTTGTGGCTTTACACTAAGTGGCTAGATATCAGTACACGTTTTTGATTTCATGTTATTGAAGTCAGTCTACAGAATGTCTTAATAAATATAATCAAAATCTGTGGCTCATTTTTCTTATCAATTCATGTCAATCAACTGTTTTTGTTCTCCATTATTTATCAAAAGCACTAGTCATCCCCTAAATGGTCACTTACATGTTGTGGAATTTTGAAGTACTTAATTTTGAACAGTTCGACAATTAGTTGTTATACTTTTCAATTTTTTCAATTTCTTGTTTTCCACAACATAAAAATGCAATTCTGGAATCGGTAACGTGTTCGATTTCACTTTCTTCTTCAGGTTGACATGAGTCGATATTTATTTTATTTAGTTAAGGTTTAAACAGAAAACTTTCACGAAATTAAACACATGATAAACAATTAACCGACTAACTTTTACTTATTGACGTTGGAATTATTTTGTAGAGGTTGACGTATTCTGTAAAAAGTTCTCATCTGAAAAAGGGTGACAAGAACACGTTTAGTTATGTGAATTTTGTAGTGTCTACAATTCGCAAAATCTTTTTACAAGTTTAGTTAATGATTTTGTGTAGTAGCTCCTTATTCTTGTTTATTTGTAGCAGTTTGATATTAACATTACTCTTTCTCTCTCTCTCTCTCTCTCTCTCTATATATATATATATATATATATATATATTACTTACGCCTGTTACTCCTCGTGAAGGAGCATAGGTCGCTCACCAGCATTCTCCATCCAACCCTGTCCTGGGCAGTCCTTTCCAGTTGTTATTCATCTTTTTCATATCTGCTTCTATTATCCGACGTCGTGTGTTCTTAGGCCTTCCTCTTTTCCGCTTCCCTTCAGGATTCCAAGTTAAGGCTTGTCTCGTAACGCAGTTTGACGATTTGCGTAATATATGTCCTATCCATTTCCATCGTCTTTTCCTAATTTCTTCTTCAGCTGGAAGCTGGTTTGTTCTCTCCCACAGAAGGCTGTTGCTGATAGTATCCGGCCAATGGATGTTGAGTATCTTGCGAAGACAGCTATTTATAAATACTTGTACCTTCTTGATGGTGGTTGTTGTAGTTCTCTAAGTTTCAGCTCCATACAGTAGAACTGCCTTGACGATGGTATTGAAGATTCTGACTTTGATGTTGGTTGAAAGTTGTTTTGAGTTCCATATGTTCTTCAATTGAAGGAATGCTGTCGTTGCTTTGTCAATCCTCGCCTTAACGTCTGCATCTGAACCTCCTTGTTCATCGATGATGCTTTCCAGGTATGTGAAGGATTCTGCATCTTCCAGAGTTTCGCCATCAAGAGTGATTGGAATGCTGTTCTCCGCCTTGAATTTGAGGACCTTGGTTTTCCCTTTGTGTATTTTGAGGCCTACTGATGCAGAGACTGCTGCCACACTGGCTGTCTTTGTCTGCATCTGTTCGTGTGTATGCGATAGGAGGGCTAGGTCATCTGCGAAGTCCAAATCGTCTAGTTGATTCTGAGCTGTCCATTGTATTCCGTGTTTTCCTTCGGATGTCGAGGTCCTCATAATCCAGTCGACCATCAGAAGAAAGAGGAAGGGAGAGAGTAGGCAGTCTTGTCTGACTCCGGTCCTTACTTGGTATGCATCTGTCAGCTGTCCTCCATGCATGACTTTGCATTGTAGTCTGTCGTATGAGTTCCGGATAATATTGACAATCTTCTCAGGAACTCCGTAGTGTCGAAGAAGTTTCCATAATGTCCTCCTATCTACACTGTCGAATGCCTTTTCATAATCAATGAAGTTGATGTATAGTGATGAGTTCCACTCAACTGATTGTTCGACGGTGATCCGTATTGTCTCAATTTGGTCTGTGCACAACCGATCCTTACGGAATCCAGCTTGTTGATCTCGAAGTTGGGCGTCTACTGCATCTTTCATCCGGTTCAGCAACACTCTGTTAAGGGCTTTCCCTGGTACTGACAGCAGTGTAATGCCTCTGTAGTTTTCACATTTGCTCAGATCTCCTTTCTTTGGAATCTTGACGAGGTGCCCTTCTTTGCAGTCCATCGGCAGTTGTTCCTCCTCCCAAATCTTTTGGTATAGAAGGTGAAGCGTGTTTGTAGTTACTTCGATGTCTGACTTCAGTGCTTCAGCTGGTATATTGTCGGGTCGTGCTGCTTTCCCGTTCTTGATTTGTCTGAAGGCCATTCTGATTTCTTCCTTCGTTGGTGGGTTGACGTCTATGGGAAGATCTGTGTGTGCCGCTTCGATGTCCGGTGGATTCATTGGAGCCGGCCTATTTAGGAGTTCCTCGAAGTATTCTACCCATCTGTTCCGCTGTTCTTGAATTTCAGTGATTGGCTTGCCTTCTTTGTCTTTGACCGGTCTCTCTGGTTTACTGTATTTCCCTGATAGTTTCTTCGTTGTATTGTAAAGTTGTTTCATATTTCCTTCTCTTGCAGCTTTTTCCGCCGTCGTTGCTAGTTCTTCCACGTATTTCTTCTTGTCGGCTCTAATGCTCTTCTTCACTTGCTTGTTTGCTTCTATGTATTCAGCTTGTGCTTGGACTCTCTCTGCTCGTGTTCAGCTGTTGTTAATTGCTGCCTTCTTGTTCTTCCTTTCTTTGATCTTGTCCAGAGTTTCTATAGGAATCCACTCCGTATGATGGTGTTTCTTTAGACCGAGAACCTCTTGACACGTTGAAGTTAATGCTTCTTTGATGCCTTTCCAGTTGTCTTACATAGTAGTTTCTTCTTCCTTCAGTAGATCTTGTAAGGCTTGGAACCTGTTGTTGAGAGCTATCTTGAATTCATTGAGTTTTTCAGTATCTCAAAGGAAGGTAGTATTGAACCTTTGTATTGCTGTTTGTCCAGTTGTCCAGTTCAGTTTTAGCTTCAGTTTTAAATTGGCTACAACCAGGTGGTGATCTGAAGCTATGTCAGCTCCTCTCCTAGTTCTCACATCTTCCATTGTCCTTCGGAAACTTTTATTGATGCAAATGTGATCTATCTGGTTCTCTGTAGTGTAGTCCGGTGAGATCCATGTTGCCTTGTGTATACGCTCGTGTGGAAATATTGTGTCCCCTATAACCAATTTGTTGAATGCACATAGATTTGCAAATCTTTCTCCATTTTCGTTTCTTTCCCCCCGTCCATGTCGCCCATGATATCTTCATATCCGGTGTTGTCTATTCCGACTTTGGCATTTAGATTTCCCATCAGAATGGTTAGGTCCTTTCTTGGGCATTTCTCTATGATTGATTGCAGCCTCCCATAGAACTGGTCATTATTGTCGTCGTTGCTATCATTGGTGGGTGCATAACATTGGATAATATTCATTGTGATCCCCTCCTTCTTTGTTTTGAATGATGCTTTGATGATTCTGGATCCTTGATATTCCCATCCTACAAGTGCATTTCGTGCTACTTTGGACAGCATAAGAGCGACTCCCTGAGTGTGTGGAGCATTGTCCTCTTCGTGACCGGAGTGTAGCAGCATCTCTCCCGTAGTTAGCCTTTTCTGTCTAGCTTGGGTCCAATGTGTTTCGCTGATTCCCAGTATCGCCGAATTGTATCTCCTCATTTCCGTTGCTATTTGACTGGTCTTCCCGGTGTCCCGCATTGTTTGGACGTTGCATGTACCTACAAAAGTTTTTGCTCTGGTTGTTAGAACGGGCATCGGCCTCGTGGCTTCCGAAGGAACTCGGCTTTCACCATGAAGCGTCATAATTCTTCTAAATGAAGACTTTCTAACTCCCAGGGCAGAGTTAAAATGGTTTGGATTAATTTTTCTGGTAAGCGTTTTTTAGCGAGTTAGTTTTCTACGGGATGGGGACGCTAACCACATGCCCAACCCTCCTCCTTTACCCGGGCTTGAGAACGGCAGTAACTCTAGAAGAGCTACAGGCGGAGTTATATATATATATATATATATATATATATATATATATATATATATATACGTTATAACGCTCGGACTTTCTTCGTCTTTACAAATGGGACTTTAATTTGACTCAGATGAATATCTACACTAGATAACCTCCCAGAGTCTATTCTACAGGACTTCAACACAACTCAGATCAAGAACACGTGATTAGCCTGACTAGAACGTAACTATATTTCCACACCAAAAACCGACAACAATCCGACAAAATCCAACAACAATCACAATAATAATAAGGATAGGAGAATATATAACTCATCTAATTCCTGTCAGACTGTCTACAAGTCTGACTAAGCAATTAACCAAATACTGTCATCTTAAGATGGTGGAGATTTGCGGCTCATGTGGATGATTTTGATGGAGTTTTGTTCTTCGAGCTGGATGGTTTGGTCGTGGAGATAAAAAAGAAAATCATCTTCGCTGAAACGTCTTCACTCTTTTTAAAAGTTAAGTGTAACAAGGGACGGAATTATATACAACAAACAGGAATCTTTAATGCTTAAGTTGGCAGTAAACATTCACTCATTGAATTTCTTGATAAAAACAAAGGATCATATTCCAAAATGATTTAATAACTTTTACAATAGTGTTTGTTGACCAACCCCATATAGTATTGTTTATGTCTTGCCACAACAATGCTGTCCGAATTGGCTTCTTGCACAATCGATTTGAAGCTAAAACCCCTTCGGCAACTGGTAATCCTGATGGATACTGTTTCCGTTCTTCTTAGTATGAGGCAGTGCAAATATAAATTATCATTATTGTGTTTATCATTTATCTCCGAAGACAAGTTAATTAGTTTGGAGTGATCGATTTCTATTAATATTCTTGTATACCAAATACAGCGATTTCAACTGTAATTGTATTTTCAATTTAGTCAAAGGAGAGCTTTATAGTTTTCGAATAAAATACTCATTTAAATAATTTACTCGTTTCTATCTAAATAGCCAGTAAAATGTTTAGTAGGTGATGTTATTTTCACTGTGGTTGATATTACTGATCCCTATTGATTAAAATCAAGTGGTATGATTATATAAATATTTAAGAATCAATACTCAGTTAACTTGTGTTCCAAAAATGTATGCTTTCAAAATTTGGATCACACCTTTTGTTTGCTATAGGGATTCATTAATTGGCTGTAAATACTGCATTGCTGTTGAAATCCATAAACTGTTTTGTTTGGATGTCAAAATTAACATCTTTAGACGAAACAATCAGATTTGGGACAACAGGTTTTGGATTTTGGCACGAAATTCTTTCACTCATTTATCTAAATAGCGTTTCAGCATTTTAGCTGGTGTCAGTTCGTGATGAAAACCCTAAGTATAGTCCTCAACAATGACTGTCTACAGTAAATCATAATCCTAATTCTTCATGCTGGTTTATAACCCTCGTTTAGCCCTAGTAAAGTAGGCGGATATTATCAGGGTCACTCAACAGTCGTCCATAAATTATTTATTATTTATTAAGGATAAAATTTTTGTTAACATCAGACGGAAGACTAGGTGAATATTTTCTGAATTCAGCTTCTATGATTTTAGTTACAGTTGAGCATAAATTGATCTATACCTTTTTTACGATATTTTGAATTAGATGTACTTGACATTAAAGGTAATGCAATTTCGGACATACTTCTGTTATTTCAACAGCTTTCACCCATCAAACGTAGAAGGCAATCTCAGGCAGTTCTTGACTATTAGTTGAACACTTAAAGAATAACAGAAGTCAAGTGAGTATTGTCGAGGATTCACGACAAGTGAAGACGACTGAGATCACTATGACCATTTTCAAAATACGAAGACTGGCCTCCTGAACAAACAAGATAATAAAACACATTAACTTACGTCCGTCAAATAATATTTCTAGGTCTCCTTGCTGCTCTTTGACCATTTCTTCGACAAATTTAATAAACGGTTTCCTGAGTCTTAAGAATTTAAGAATTATGAGCCACAATATATATATATATATATATATATATATATATATATATATATATATATATATATATATATATATAATTTACATTTCATTCAAAATCTTGGATAAATGCAAAGTTCAGGGGATCACGTTCTTACACCAGTAATAATTATTTTGATAAAGGCACTAGAGATTGGAATATCCATAAGTTCGAAGTCTGAGGTGATCACTCTGTATAGAAACATATAGTCTTAGTTGAGTATTCAAGTTCTGTACAAAATATTGTTGTACATATTGAAAACGCCTTTGAATGTTGAATCCTTTTCGAAATTATGTATAAATAAAGTAGACAACATTTTCATTTAGCATAGTAGAGGTAATCAATATTTCCTGATGCATGCTGTTCTTGTGTTCTCGACGCCGTTATGGTGCCGCAAGTACTTCATGACTATATTAATTGATATAATGAAAACTATGATTTTGTTTTGCGACTTTTCAATAGATTATGCTAGAACCTAAATAAGAGCTGATTGAACCTGGAGAGTAAATTACAGGAGATGAAATATTTGTTATTTATAATTTCTAAATCTTTCCTCCCATATATAGTATTTCTATTAATTGTTAATACTGCCGATTTTCTTGTTTTGTACTACAATTAGCCTATACAACAACTTGGTGACCCAATTCTCACTCTACGTGTTCTCCTAGTTAACATACAAGTAAACCAATCAATGATAACCCTACCGGATTTCATCCATATAAATGATATATTAACAAGAAAAACACAATTATCATTATTGGTTATATTTCCTACCTGTGTACTCCTGTTGGCTAGAACAAACCAAACTAATGTTTACGATTATACTGTAAGTGAAATTCACCTCTGTGTCTTTTTTAAATTTTATTGCTTCATTTTATAAAACTTAGAATTAGCAATAATTTATTAATTCAATATATAAATAGATCAATATTTATTCAGGAAATACTCATAGGTCTACGGCTAAGCAATAGCTAAATCATAAATAACAAATACTACTACTACTACTACTGCTGTGGTGAATGCTACTCATAAGATTACTTATTGGTCGCATGGAAGTTGATACAGTCAAAGTGAAGAGTTCCAAGGGGTCACAAACCATGGAGTAAGCAGAATACTTTCGAGATCAGGCTAGGACGAAATTGAATCAGAGAATATCTAACCGGACGCGATTTTATTATTTTAACACACAGATATTGGTACAAGAAGGCACCAAATACATATGCACCATACAAGTCTCATTTGATATGTGTGAGGGCTGTGATACTGCCTGGTTGTCCAAACCGAAGTAGGTGGTTTTCTTAGAAGGCCACACTAGGAGCCTTCGACCTGAAGGTCTGATCCACAAGGTAGTGGAGCATCGTAAGGAGATGCAGTCCCATAGTAGTCGGTGACCAACAATTGGTTCATACGCCATTTGTTCCTTTAGGATCGTGGAGGCCATGTGCACCATTGGTTTGGAGTCATGGTTTTCCAATCCCCCTAGGTGAACTCTAAATGTCCACCAACCCGGTTAAAGCGCCGGATATTCGCTCTTCGTCCTCTCATTTCCGTAGACAACACCCCGTCACGAGAAGGTAGTGAGTAGGACTTCCTTGGCAGAGGCTATATACGCGTGGCCATGTGAGAGCATTTCGAGAGGGAGAGTGGACTCTCCCCACTCCTTGGCCTGCGCAAATGGATCACTGAATAATAGGTGTATATGTTCTGTAAGCCTTTTGTAATTTCACTAAACAAACATATTCTTTCCCCAGTGTCTTTTTCTCTACTAATACTATTACTGATGGAATTCCAGAAAATAGCTTGAATATTTTTACTTCCAAAAATTTACTTTGACGAATGGACACTTGGTAACTTAAAATTTTAATGAAATACATTATCTGAAATTATCTACGTTGTACATGTAAAGGTAATAATTAAATCAAATGAGAACCCGAAATTTCATGACATACTAATAAACCGACGTATATCTGTCTACGTGGTCAATGAATTCAACGACGAGGTTGAATTTATAATTTCCATTTTTATATTCATTTATCGTAGTAAAATCAGTATCCTTTTTTTCCGTATTTCAAATCTATCTGATTATTGGCAAAGATGGGTAGTGGCTAGCAGTGGGATGGAAGACGCGCGTTTTGTCCTATTTGGGACTCATCAGCTGGATGTACCTGCATCTCAGAGTTGATGTTCACTCTGGAACTCGAACCCAGTGCCATTCGTTTCAAACGCCATCGCGTTATCCACTTAACTACCGAGTCCCGATTTTCACTTAATTTGAATGTAAATACACTAGGTGTTGTTTGCTTGAATCTTCTCACTGAAGTTTAAGACTGCAATTGATCAGTCTCTTATTGGCATATGTACATCCTGTGCGTATTGCCTTAATCCACAAGCTTTATAAGCAAAGGTGGATAGTGGCTAGCAGTGGGATGGAAGACGCGTGTTTCCTCCTATTTGGGACTCATAATAAACTGAAATAATTTAGAGAACTCTTAAAAATCGAGGAGGATTCAGTAGCTGTTTTATTCTACCCTGAAATTTGAGTTTCTCTACGAGCGATACATCCTTTACTGACTCGCTACTATGGAGTACGTAATATGCAATTAAGACTTTATCGATTAAGTTGTTAAAATTCCCGACCAAGCTGCTACCTTGACGCGGTGGTCGGGCTTACTTATCGTGATGACCCGACCGAGCTATAATGGCTGGAACATATGTTCCTGTAGGTTCTACCATGCCAGGCAGGTCGATTGGTGAACGGTAAGACTAAAAGCAGCAACTCAAGGTCTGAGGGCGAAGTCGTACTGCTGACTGTAGAGGGGTGTGACAGCAGTAAGGTGTTTTCCTCGGACAACCAGCATGACAGCGATGCTGCCTTCCCAAAAGGAGGGGTGGGGTTAGAAAAGGTCGGCCCTAAAAATGCCACACCTCACCTTACCTCACGGATTTCCGTCTCCGGCGGTAAGGCTCTTTGAAGAACGGAGCTAACACATCAAAAATCTTCCACAAAAGGGCCGTGGGCGACCGGCCTCAAGCAGTTGTCCCTTGGGCTCTGCGGTCACGCTCCCAGGTCGTCAAGACCAACACTAATCCAATTTCCTTTTCAGGTTCCTCAAGAAATACCCTTCCACGGTGTGGGCAGCCGGGAAGTGACATCAGCCCTCATACCCGTAACAGCACACGAGACCAAGTTGGTCACATTCAAATCCTTCCTACACCTCCTAATAGCTCTCTTATCTCCATGACTAACCCTCCTCACGTCTCTTTATCACCTCGCACCGCTAGGGCAAACGATTCGAGTACGTGGAACTCTATTCCTGGTCTCCTGAAACCACGCTCTAAACTACACGTAGGAGCTTTTAACGTACGAACACTTTGCCAAATAGGACAGCAGGCTTCCTTAGCTAGGACTTTAGAATCTCGCACCATCGATGTGTGCTGCGTCTCCGGAACGCGCATACAAGATCCGAGTATCGTCATTCATTTAACCTCACCATGCCAAAATAAAGAACCGACTCGATTTACGCTTCGTGTATCTGGAAGCCCTGATTCTGCTTCCCGTGGCCTCGCCGGCGTAGGTATAGCATTGAGTCCTAGGGCAGAACTAGCTCTCTTAGAGTGGATCCTAGTAGACAGCCGTTTGTGCGCTGTCCGACTGAACGGAACAGTAAGAATCTGGAAAGATAGGGACATTCATCGTTCCCTCTTCGTCGTTTCTGCCTATTCTCCCACTGACTGCAGCTCAGATGATGTAAAAGATGAGTTTTACAGAAAGCTTTCGGACCTTCTCCGAAAAGCTAGGCGCTCTGATGTAGTAATAGTGGCCGGTGACTTTAATGCTCAAGTAGGTAAACCAAGCGATAGGGAAAGACACCTAGGTGGATCTCATGGTGTCGTGGCTCAAAGAGCAGCTATGCTCAAATAACCGCCTGTTCCTTGCAAATACTAATTTTAAGCATAAGGAAAAACATCTTTTAACATGGCGACCTCCTAATTCGTCCCACCGTTGGACCCAAATAGATCACATCGCTATCAGCCACCGATGGAGGGGCTCGATAGAAGACTGTCGCTCATTCTGGAGCACATGCTTAGATTCAGATCATGCTCTAGTACGAGCGCGTATTCGCTTGCGTCTTACTGGACGTAGGAAAGACGCTGCAAGGAAACCTCTTAGGGGCCTACTTAATGATAGTCAAGCTAAGAGTATATTTGGGGAACAACTAGGAAAACAGTTAGGCAGCCATGTATGTGATGCCCACCCCGAGGCAGCATGGAATGATATCCGAAAAGCTGTGGAAACAGCAGTGATATCTGCTAGTAAGGTAAACCAGAAGGTTAGGGAGCAACACTGGATCTCAGCAGTATCTATCGCACTGATAGATGCTCGGAAACTCATTCCACCTGGCTCTGAACATAATGAAGAGCGGAGTCAGCTTAAGCGCAAGCTGACAAGAAGCCTACGCAATGATCGCGAGCATTGGTGGGTAGCGAAAGCAAGAGAGATGGAAAAGGCAGCGGCAATAGGTAATAGCAGACAATTGTTCAGACTCGTTAAGGAAACTGGAATTAGGAACCCGACCGTTAGCGAAACAATCTCAGAGAAAGATGGACATATTATTCATTCTCAATCCAGGAGATTGGATCGATGGGCAGAACACTTTAGGGATCAGTTCAACTGGCCTTCAGCCACACTTCGGTTTCCCACGATCTCTAGTCAACCTGAATGGCAAGTTAATGTAGGTCCTCCGTCCGTTTACGAAGTTGAAAAAGCCATAGGAAATCTGAAACGAGGGAGAGCAGCAGGCCCTGACAGGTTTACTCCTGAGATTTTTAAGGATGGTGGTCCAGTATTAGCAATGAGATTAACCGAGGTCTTAGGTAGAATTTGGGAACTGGACGTAATCCCATCTGACTGGTCTCAACCACTGATTGTGCCAGTCTATAAGAAAGGACAAAAGTCCTCTTGTGACAATCACAGAGGAATCAGTTTGACAAATATTAGCCTCAATAATACTTCGACACATAACCAAAGTTCGTGAAGAATAGACTAGAGCAAATCAGGCTGGTTTACGACCTGGACGTGGTTGTATAGATCAGATATTCACATTACGTCAGGTTCTAGAACACAGACACTCGTTCAGACGTCCCACAATGGTAGTATTTCTCGACCTTAAGGCGGCATTGGACTCTGTTGATCGTGAAGTTCTATGGCAGTGTTTGTCACTGAAAGAAGTACCAAAGAAGTACATTAACCTTATAAAGGCTCTCTACTCGAACACAACTGGTAGGGTGAGAGCTTATGGCGAACTGTCATCAGAAATGATTACCTCAAGTGATGTTCGTCAGGACTGTCCACTCTCCCCATTCTTGTTCAACTTTGTCCTTGACGTACTTTTAGAGATAACACTCTCCTCATCTAAATTTCCAGAGGTTGAACTTCTACCGGGAGGTTCACTTGTTGACTTAGAATATGCTGATGACATAGTTTTATTTGGTGAAGACGCTGACAAAATGTAGAGTCTTCTGGCAACTCTAAGCAACAATGCAAGCATGTTCGGGATGCGATTCTCTCCCTCGAAATGCAAAATGTTGCTTCAGGATTGGGTTACATCGACACCCGAACTAGTGATAGGGAGTGAAGTAGTTGAGTGTGTCGACCGCTTCACTTATCTTGGAAGTCTCATCAGCCCTTGTGGTCTGGTGTGTGACGAAATCTCAGCACGGATACAGAAGGCTCGACTAGCTTTTGCCAACTTGCGTCATTTATGGCGTAGGCGAGATATCCGTCTATCAACCAAAGGACGTGTTTACTGCGCAGCAATTCGTCCCGTCCTACTTTATGGCAGTGAAACGTGGCCGGTAAGAGTAGAGGATATTCGTAGGTTACTAGTATTCGATCATAGGTGTCTTCGAAATATTGCTCGTATATCGTGGGACCACCGAGTAAGTAATGCAGTTGTTAGGAAACAGGTACTAGGTGGGGATGGCAAATCAATTGATGAAGTAGTAAAACTGCATCAGTTGAGATGGCTGGGACACGTGTTACGTATGCCCAACGACCGACTACCTCGACGTGCTATGTTCAGTGGTATAGGAGTAGGTTGGAAGAAAGCTAGGGGCGGCCAGACCAAAACATGGCACAAGTCCATGAAGTCACTGACAAATGGACTGAGTCATGTTGGTAGGTGTAGACTACCTGGTTGGGGACCACGAGATGATAGCAACCGATGGTTAGAGACCCTGAATGACATTGCTTGGAATCGTTTGGAATGGCGCAGGTGCATGCACTCTTTGTGTTCTCCCAAATTCTAATCTTCTGAATTCTTCATGTCCCTTTTTTCCACTTTCCAAATTTATTTCACTGGATTATACTCTTTAAATAACATCTCCAAACCCTAATCTTCCTGATTACTGCTTATACTCTTATTACCTCTACCACTACGGGATTTGAATCGAAAATTGTATCTGTGTGGTAATGTGGTGTGGCAACTTGAACTGATGTACGTACATACGAAGTTCTGCGTTGTTTACTGACTGACTGACTGAAGTTGTTAAAATTGGTACGACTGTTTTAATATGTAGTAGTTAATGGCAGCTGTGAATAAGATGATAGTAATAATGTAGTAACTAAAATACCACTAAAATTAACACAATTTCAAGCAAGACGTCTCCTCTATAAAACACGAAAACCTATATTTGAAACCGATGCTTTTGTTGGTTATTAGACGTTAATCCTAATGTTACTGCTAATAACACATATATTTACATTTGCGTGAGTATTATGGTTAATTTCCGTTCACAAGGTTAAAGCTTGATCCACTTAATTTGATGTTGGTAGCCAAATAGAAGAATCAGTATACTGCAGTACTTTTTATGAGGTTCAGTTACACAATTGTTTTTCGACCCCCTTCTCCCACAGTTTCAGTAAAGTCTGAATTATTTAGGCTGTTGATGCTTTGCACTGAATTATATATAAGTTGTTATAGCATAGCCATACTTGGCTATATGTACTGTGATAAGATAAGAGTGGATATCTAGTGTTCAAACCATGTCATTTGGTACTGATGGGCCACTTATGGAAGTTGGGAAACCCTGATTCCATACAGGTGATCAGCGAAATGCACTTTTCTTACCAATCTTTTTGCGCGGAGTAACAATGTTCAATTACTCTTCATTCTTACAGTTTATCAGTGGGTTTAAAAATGATTTTCTAATCATACTATTCTTCCTTTATCTTACCGTGTGCAACATTTTTGAGGCAACATAAATACGTGTTTGTGGTAAATATCTGTTAATTATTGAAAGACTTGTCAGCCTTGAATAAGTGGATTACTGTATCGTGTTATTCGACATAAAAGTTCTCTTTTCGGCGAATTCATTTCCAAACTGTACATTCGCAAATATATACTTATTTTTGAAAATGATAATAATTACAATAATAGTGATAATGAAATTCTGTTAAACATGGTAACAGTGAGGTGGGATAAAAAGCATTAAAGATTATTTTCATCAGGGAAACTAATAATAACTTTGTTGTTTAGGACTTGTATATTCATCATGAATATAGGGAAATTATAACTGGGAATGAGAGACTCAGTATGATAAGATGAAATGTCAAAATTGGGAGGAACTGCAATCAGGCGGATCATAGAAACAGAAAAATACCGTTTGGGGATAAAAATTCTATGGAGAATATGGAAGGGAAGCAGATGGCTATGAATGAAGAAAAGCATAAAGAAGAATGAAAATTCCAAGATATTGAGATCATGGTAGAAGAAGAGGTTGTACCAGTTTGTTTTGGACACAATTTTGGTTCTTGTAGATGTATAGCTATTGGTTCGTCAACGTTAAGAAAATGGAATATAAGTGGCTTTGATAACCTTCTATTTACCTTGTAGATGAATTTGAATTCAGTCCACTCTGATTGAGTGACCTGCGTTCGATTATTGAGCTTCTTATTGAGCCATTTCCGCCTCTTTTGAGCCAGGTCGGATAATGTTCTCGAATTCTTTTGGGTAAAATACGCATCGATCGGCCTGTAGTGTATGATGCTATGTCAAGCTTATATGGATTATTCTAGCTTCCGAATAGACCAATTTATTCATTCTTCTTGAGTCACGTTTTGACCTCGTTAATTATTCTCTTATTAATCATTTCTGTTTCTACATGAGCATCTGTGTGTATTTCTTACGCCATTCATGGCATGTTTGTAGCTTATTTTTATCTGACTATAAATTTTGAGTCATGTTTCATCAAGTCGAGTTGGCTCATTCGCCTTCGCTTCGCTTTATTGCTTTTTATTCTGAATAGTCGTCCGGATAAACGAGTGTACAAAATTTACGTATTCAAAATTATCGGAGGGATTTTTGTGGAGATTTTAGTAAATTTATAATTGAATTCATAAGTTAAATGAAGCTAGACCACTATGAAAAACATTGATTACTCCTTTTCCTTATTGATAAAATGAGTATTTTTGGGTTATCGTTTCATTCGTTTAGTCCTGTTTTTTTGTAATGCTCATTAGAATTTTTATTGAGCAGTACATTTCATACAAATTTTGTTGATGATTTGTTGAAAACAGGTCAAAATACCATTGAACAATTTGGCTGTGATTAGATCAACCGAAAGTGAAACAGATTTAGATTTATTGATTAAAGGTAAATAGATAATTTACTGTGTAAATATTCTCACTGTATATTTCGTAACGAAAATTATATTATTAAACCAGTCCAGTAATTATGTAGATGTATCCGGCAATGAATCACACTTTCTTTTGTAAGCTGAGCTTACTAGTCTAACTACCAAAACGCTGCTCTTGTTTAGCTTTGTTGTTGACGTGCTTTTAGAGATAACACTCTCCTCATCTAAATTTCCAGAGGTTGAACTTCTACCGGGAGGTTCACTTGTTGACTTAGAATATGCTGATGACATAGTTTTATTTGGTGAAGACGCTGACAAAATGTAGAGTCTTCTGGCAACTCTAAGCAACAATGCAAGCATGTTCGGGATGCGATTCTCTCCCTCGAAATGCAAAATGTTGCTTCAGGATTGGGTTACATCGACACCCGAACTAGTGATAGGGAGTGAAGTAGTTGAGTGTGTCGACCGCTTCACTTATCTTGGAAGTCTCATCAGCCCTTGTGGTCTGGTGTGTGACGAAATCTCGGCACGGATACAGAAGGCTCGACTAGCTTTTGCCAACTTGCGTCATTTATGGCGTAGGCGAGATATCCGTCTATCAACCAAAGGACGTGTTTACTGCGCAGCAATTCGTCCCGTCCTACTTTATGGCAGTGAAACGTGGCCGGTAAGAGTAGAGGATATTCGTAGGTTACTAGTATTCGATCATAGGTGTCTTCGAAATATTGCTCGTATATCGTGGGACCACCGAGTAAGTAATGCAGTTGTTAGGAAACAGGTACTAGGTGGGGATGGCAAATCAATTGATGAAGTAGTAAAACTGCATCAGTTGAGATGGCTGGGACACGTGTTACGTATGCCCAACGACCGACTACCTCGACGTGCTATGTTCAGTGGTATAGGAGTAGGTTGGAAGAAAGCTAGGGGCGGCCAGACCAAAACATGGCACAAGTCCATGAAGTCACTGACAAATGGACTGAGTCATGTTGGTAGGTGTAGACTACCTGGTTGGGGACCACGAGATGATAGCAACCGATGGTTAGAGACCCTGAATGACATTGCTTGGAATCGTTTGGAATGGCGCAGGTGCATGCACTCTTTGTGTTCTCCCAAATTCTAATCTTCTGAATTCTTCATGTCCCTTTTTTCCACTTTCCAAATTTATTTCACTGGATTATACTCTTTAAATAACATCTCCAAACCCTAATCTTCCTGATTACTGCTTATACTCTTATTACCTCTACCACTACGGGATTTGAATCGAAAATTGTATCTGTGTGGTAATGTGGTGTGGCAACTTGAACTGATGTACGTACATACGAAGTTCTGCGTTGTTTACTGACTTACTGACTGCTCTTGTAAGTGGTCATATTTTGGAAGACTAAATTTAATAGAGACAAGTGGCTTCCATCCTTATGATTTGTAGTAATAGTTCTCGTAATTTCCTTAATCTTCAAAACGTTAGTTTGTTAGTCAACTCCATGTCGAAATACTGTCAAGTGTACGGTGTGATTGTATCAAGGCGTTCGCTTCAGATGACCAGCATTAGCAGCAATACTACTTTCTCTCAGAAGTGTGAGTTAGAAAAGTCTAACTTTTTAAAGTAGGACGCCTTGACTTGGCCCAGAAATTTCTGTCACCGGCTGTAAGGCTTTGTTACATGGGCTTTAAAATTACTCACTAAAATGTCGTATGTGACCGACCTCGAGCTGTTGGTTCCTAGCGGTCTCGCTTATGACAATGCCAATACTGGTCCAGTTCCATTTCCACGTCTGTCAGGAAGAATTATCCTTCTACGGTGTGGGCAATGGAAAAGTGACAACCGTCTCTTCTCGTGGTTTTACCGGTGTCCAATGACAGGGTCGGTACTCTCTGACTGGATTCCTTTTCACTGTCGTTTACATGCTGTCCCTTTAGATGATTAAATAAGAACTCAGAAAGACGCGGATACACACTGTTGCCTCTTAATCGTTTCTACTAACACCCTCCAATGTCTGCACCAAGGCTGAGTTCTATAGAAAGCTTTCTGATTCTTCAGAATCCCCGGGGCTCAGAAACGTGGTTATAGTAGCAGGTAATTTAAATACCTAAGTCTGTTTGCTAATTCAAGTTGAGTTTTTTGACGTTCTAGACCAGTGAACACATGACGGTGATCGTCTATTGCGACTATCCCGATACGACCGCTTAATCTTTGCAGAGCACCAACTTTAGTCATATGGAGAGACATTGTCTATGTAGTGTGTATGCATTTTGAGGTAGCGAATCATAGTATGGGGTCTGCTGTATATACATGTCAGACGTTTGTTAGAAACCTGAAACTAGTGGTGCAGTTGGATATAATCTCATGTGATTATTCATCAATTCAGAGCTTATGACGAACTGTCGTTAAATTTGGTAACGTTACGTGGTGTTCGCTATGATTGGCCACTCCCTATAGTTTCATTTAACTTTGCCATGAACATTCATTTGGTCAAATCTCTTTTCTTTTCTGGCTTTTCAAGGATTGACCTCTTATCAGGAAAATCACTTACTGACTTGAAATATGGAGATGATGTAGTTCTGTTAGGTAAAAACCCTAATACGTCCAAAGTCTTCCGAACACAATTCAAGGATGTTTGGTATACATTTCTCTTTCTCTAGATACAAAATACTGTCTCACGACTAGCCTGCATGACCCCCTAAATTGGTTATAGAGAGTGAATTATTTGAGTGCGTGGACACCGTTGGTTATCCTGGAAGCCCTATTACGTTGATATAGACAAGGTTATCGTGTCAGCGAAGAGGCGTGTTTAATGCACATAAACTATTTTGTACCGCGGCCAAACCAGGATGTGACACTAGTCCTTAACTATTGGACTGAGGCGTGTTAGTAGGCACAGAATACCTGCCTGAAGTCCACACGATAATCGTAATCAGTGTTTGGAAACGTCGGATAACATGGATCGGAGTCAGTGACGACGGTGTAGGTGCATTTACGCTTTACATATCCGTAACTGCAGAGCTCCAAAATTAGTTCGTACTTTTTATTCCCCGAATTTATCCCTTCTTTTCGAAATTTACTCATCAATATTTAGTTTTTCCCACTACCGTTGATATTATCATTATTTTCATTTCATTTTTTTTTCGTTTTATCAGTTGCATACTAAGTATTACTACATTGGTTTAATTAACCGTTAGGATATTCGTGTACAGAGCTTCTGATTGAAAGTTTACAAAAATATCTTTCTTCTTACAGTAAATTTCTCATGTATGTACTCTCTCCATATTTCCCCTGGTTTGTTTGTCTCTCATTTAGATCTTAATTCCATGAATATGGATGTTATTCCTTGTCACATAACACTTGCATGTACAGATCAAAATGCTAGAGATCTTTTGGTATCTACATTAACTGACCTAATACAATATCAGACCCAGAATGAACAACAGTCACCAGATATTGATCAATGTCATACAAAAAACGAGAGTATTTCTTTGGATTTCTTCAGTCAACCTGATTCGAATAGTTTGGACAAACATGGAAATACATCTCTAAGTTCTTTACCTTTACGAAAGGACACACTAGATGTAAAAATTTTACTATTATCATTTTTGTTGTTGTTGAGATCTTTAAGAAATTGGTTGAACGGGTGATAATGAAAGAATTTTCCGAAAAACCGTAGATTGTTTCAACTTTTAAAAGGCGGTGGGTTAACAGTAGTGATAGTGTCACTAGGACACTCACAAATTGTGTGCTTCGAAACTGACTCCACTAATTTGTAATTGGTAATTGGGTAATTCCTCAGCGAAGTCTCCACCATATATCGTTACTTGACCAACTTTGCATTATTCGATTCTTAAATCAATTACATTTAAAGTGGACGATTTCGATCATAAATAACCATCTATTAGAGTAGATTCTTATCCGAGTAATACTGTGCAAAAATGCGAAATCTGTGATTCAGTAGTTTTCCAAGTTGGTTTTCAATGATTAGTCTGTAGGTCCAATCACTGTTTTATTCACCGTACAAAATGTTAAAAGTTATTCCCTTTATATTAAGATCAACTTATAAATTTTACGATACAGAAAATTTGTTAAGTTTATCCACAGCGTTCTCATTGTTCAATAAACTTGTTGTATCCATTGCCTCCGACTATTTATCTTCTCTTTTATTGCATTAGTACTGCATATTATAGTGAAAATGTTTTAGCGATTTCATTTAAAGCCTTACATTTCGCTATATTTGTTTTTTGTCTAGCAAGTTGAGCTGTACTGCACTGACATTTTCATAGTAGACAGACGAGTGCAACTCCAACTGTTCCGAATGTAATCTCTAGCGAAAATACACCGATATTCAGCAATCACTCACCTAGTAGACGGGAGAATGGCTAGAGTGCCAGATTCAGCAAAATTGTTGAACTTTAAAGACTTTGTGTGTAACTGTGTATACAGTAAATCCTATCGTTGAACGGAAGCTCAGAGTGAAATAAATAAGGTTTTAATTAGGTTGTATATTTTTGCAATTCGTTTACTAGCCTTAAAGATCTCTATGTAGGTGGCAGATGACTTGATTTTATTTAACTTTGATATTTGAACTTTCTAAAGATAGAGCAGATTTCATTTGAATAACAGGAATTGTCAAAGTCTCTGATATCCAGAAATATGCGGTACTCAAGAACGACAAATATGACAAAAAGAGTTAGATTAACAACGTGTCTACCGGATAATCACAGTAACCATGGTTCTAATACATCAGTAGTTATGTCCTAATGTTTGAAGATGAGAATTTTTTCTGTTAGTTCAGAGTTATTATCCCAGTATATTTTTCCTAAAATTGAAGTTGTTTCTCATTGTATTTTTTCATAAATGGATGATTTTAGTGAAGTCTTATCTTCTGTGCTGGATGATCAACGCTATCAGCACCGACTTCAGTTAAAAGTGGTTTACTTGAATTTCTCCATATATGACTGACAGCTTGTCCTGTCGATCTCAAACTTGAATGGTTATTGTTGGTGTTTCTCTGTCATTTTCCACCTGAAGTTTATGTTAATAGTGTTTTTCAGAAAAATATTGAAAGCTTCACTATTAAATCAACCAGGGCAAAGAATGGGACTTCAGTGAAAGTTATTTAGTCTTATTTTTATGTTAACTTTGGGCAGTGAATCAGATCTCTTTAGTATTTCCTATCTTTCTAACGAATGTTTTACCTGCTTTCTAGAATGAAAAATTAAAATCATCAAAAATAACAAGAGATGAAAATAATCAGATTGATCAGCATCAATCAACACTGGTGATGTCGACATTGTCAATGAAAGATCCTCAAAGTTTCAAGTTTCCTCCTGACTCCACTGACAATTTGGCTGTTCAACACACTTACACAAAAGATATTTCTAAAATATCCTTTGTCAATAATGATAATGCTGTAAAAATCACAGATATTTATAATTTCATCAGCAATTCGACTAACAATAATGATGATAATAAACGTCGCTTCTCTTCATCATTGAAAAAAAGTAAAGCTCTTAGACCATTAACTGAACCATCGAATATATGTGCTGAAGAACTAAACAATGAAAGTCAACATCATCAATCATCCGTTATTGACCCTCAATCAAAACAAATCTTCACACCAGTGGATAACACCTGCACAGTGGTTCTAACTTCAGATGTATTAACATCATCTTCAGGCTTACGTTTTTTACCGCATAGAATTACTACTAATGCCCATGTTCTCTGGTTTGGTAAGTTCTTTGCATTCAGAATCTACTGTTTCGAAGAGGTTGTACCATTTTGTTTTGGACACAATTTTGGTTTTTGTAGATGTATAACTATTGGTTCGTCAACGTTAAGAAAATGGAATATAAGTGGCTTTGATAACCTTCTATTTACCTTGTAGATGAAGTTAAATTCAGAGTCCTCTTTAGTTGCACTGAGCAACAATGCCAGAATGTTTGGAATGCGCTTCTCTCCCTCTAAATGCAAGTTGTTGCTTCAGGACTGGTCTGCGTCAAAACCTGAACTAAGGATGGGTAGTGAAGTAGTCGAACGCGTTGACAACTTCACTTATCTTGAAAGTCTGATCAGCCCTAATGGGTTGGTGTCTAATAAAATCTCAACACGGATTCGAAAAGCTCGTTTGGCTTTCGCCAACTTACGTCACCTATGGCGAAGGCGAGATATCCGTCTATCAATAAAAGGACGAGTATACTGCGCGGCAGTCCGTTCTGTTTTACTTTACGGCAGCGAAACATGGCCATTAAGAGTAGAAGACACTCGTAAGCTACTAGTATTTGACCACAGATGCCTCAGATATGTTGCTGGTGTCTGTTGGGATCACCGGTTAAGTAATAGTGGGGTTAGACGCAGGGTATTAGGGAATGATGGTAAATCAGTCGATGTGGTTGTGAATCTTCATCGACTGAGATGGTTGGGCCTTGTGTTACGTATGCCTGAATACCGTTTACCACGACGTTCAATGCTAACCGGTGTTGGGGATGGTTGGAAGAAAGTTAGGGGCGACCAAACCAAAACGTGGCATCAGTGCTTGAAGTCACTAACTTATAGTCTGAGCCATGTTGGTACATGCAGACTACTTGGTTGGGGTCCGCGTGACAATCGTAACCAATGGTTGGAGACTCTTGGTGACATGGCTCAGAATCGATCACAATGGCGTCGGTGTATACACTCTGTCTTCCCTTAGACTAAGAGATTAAAATTGCTTCATATCTTTCTTTCTACGAACTAATTCTTTCTTCCTGTACTATATCCTTATCTCAATCTTTCTTTTATATATTACCACCTCTGAATTAACTACTTTTATGGATCCGTTGTCCATCTTGTTGTGTTAATGAGGTATGGCAACTTGGACCGTTGCATATATGTGCCTGGTCCTACGTTGTAGCTGACTGACCTCTTTAGTTGAGTGACATGTGTTTGCAAAGTTTCTGCAATAAGTATTCATCACCAAATTGGACATAACCAAATTTAACTAAGTTTGTTTTATTTTTAATTCAGTTTTATATTTGTATGGTGTCTTTTCTGTAAGGAAAATTTCTTCTGTATTAATACAGTTTCAATGACATTAAATAATCACCACGAAACTTATTATTCATATGAATATATATTTTTTCCGTTTAGATATTGATAAATCGATAGTTGGTACACGACAGTCATATTCAACATCGATTGATTTGCCTGGTATTATTCCTTATAAAAATAATGAACAATTATCATCTGATAATGACTTAATTCATGCAATTCATTGTCTTCGTGTCGATGGTCCATTAGATTTTAATAGAGACGATAGAATCGGTTCAGTTAATGCATTAAATAATTTGGGATTGCTTATTGATCAGAATATTCCTGGTCTGTTGCTAGATTTTTCTATTTCGCACAAAAATCAACACAACCGTGTGAGAGCTCAAAGTCCTAAGGTTACCGATTCAAGTAAGGAATCACGTCGTAAACGTGGTGGTATGTTAATCAATTGCTTTTTTATAAACTTATTTGTTTACTGTCATTTATCTTTGATCCATAAATCTTATTGTTCATATGCTAGCACATATACTGTATAACTGAATATTTACTTCACTAACCATATGGTTTTTTACACTGTCTGCTCATAGAGTAAACTAAACTTTTTGACGTGAAAATAATACATAATAGTATGAGTTTTAACTGAACCAATAAATATTCAGTAATATTCATAGTCTTATTAAGCCTGTTTATCATTAGCTGTTTTGTGTGCCATATAAATCGGGATTTTAGGATTTTAAAAGTTATTCATCACAAATTGGCTTTGAGCGTTACTTACTGGGCATCTAGCCTCTCTTTTCATCTTGTTTGTGGAGAATTTAAACAGTTTTTGACTAGGCTTATGGGGTTCACATTATGGGAGTACGTTTATGCTTAAGCAACTTCGAACTTACTAACTTTTTTCTATAATATTTTATGCATCCTATATAGAGATGTATGACACAGTGAATTTGTTTTTTTAAACTACTAAATATAATCAATTCTAAAATATACCTGACGTATAAAAAATGACAATGCATCCCCGTTGATTCCTCTCACTTTTTAACTTAGTGTGCAGTATGCAGAAGGTAATAACACATACAAGATTATCATGATAAACAAAACAAATATGTTAAGAGAGAGAAACTACTAAATGATATATTGTATATGAATAAGCAGTGTTTCAGGTGGAGTTTTGTTCTCTGAGCTGGATGATTTGTTCTTGAAGCTTTCATTGTTCTTCATCCATCTCAGAAAACAAAATTCTACCTAAATCATTCACGTGAGTTACAAATCCACCATTTCGTTAACAATATTTAAAACCGAAATTATTGTAGAGACACGGAAAGAGGTTGATTAAATGAGTAAACAGTTGGTTGGATCATTTATTAAATTTTCTTTAATTACATAAGGGGTGAAGACACTATACGTCTCTTGAATACAAAGATTAAAACTGTTTTCTCATATCCTTGTATTTATCAATTTTTATGGAATATACGTGAAAACTACTCTAGAAATATGGAACAAAATATCATAAATAAGCCTAAATGCTTTAGCTCTATCTGCAGCATGACCACTGTTGATCAAATGCGCCAAAATACGGCAACGTATTGACTGTATGTTGACTTGTTTTGAAGCACTATGAGAGATGCTTACTGACTCACTAAGGGTGAATTAGAAAAAAATAATGTGCTACCGCAATTAACTGTTGTAATCTACAACACGACATCAAATTAATTAGCTTATTATGCATAAAATTAAGCTTTCGTCTCATATTTTCAATAACTTACGAATGAAAATGGATATATACATATATTCCGTTTAGGAACTGTACAATTCTTATGTAATAGTAAGTTGTTCTTTACTTCATACTTTTAATGTACGCGTTTGCCTCAATTTCCCATTTAGTTTATTTCTCCATTCATTGGTGACAAGTTCATATGTAACTAGTCATTTCCTCTGAGAAAAATTTTAAAAAGATGTCGTTGTGATGAGCGGTGTCCGAAAACTTATACTGGTACATGGTATACTACGCGCTAATCCCCGAAATGACTACTTGAACGAGAAAGTGTTTTCGACGATCGAATAAAATGCATAAATACTCATATAAACACCACTCTAATCCTTAGGAAATTCATCCACTCGTTAGCCAATGAAATAAACCTGACTTTTAGGTCACTTCTGATTGCCATTGATTGATCTTCTCATCATGCTACTTCTGATTAGCTTCCTGTTTCTGATATGTTTTGTTTGAATTCATATGCTATGTCCTCGAGATAATAATAATATTCTACTTGTGTACAACTTTTTCATACCTCTAGTTTTACATTTTTCATGTATATGTGAAGTAATAACTATCAATCTACTGCATATATGTATAGGACACGATCATTAGAAATATGATGTAAAAATGTTACCGCTTCAAACCATTTGGTGCATTTCTTTCTCTTACCTACTTTCTCCTTAAAAAAATCAATTAATAATGTAACCGCTACAAATTTTGTACTTGATTCCGAGTCAAAATATTTTTGTGTGGTCCTATAATACTACTTAACTCCTCAAACTGACATTAAAGGAGTAGGGTTTGAACATCTGATTCATTTATGATTATTGGTTTAACCACTAACTATATATGAATCGACTAAGGTATCCATTGTGTTAAACTTCAATGGTCCGTGTTAGCCATCTCTTTAACAACAGATGTTCATTACTCTATGAGTTGCACGTAATAGACTTATTCATTCTGAGTCAGAAATGAAATGTTCTTTTTGAACCACATGGCTAATGATCATCAAGCAAACAAGATAAGTTTCGTTTACTCATTGACTAAAAATACCTTGTTACACTATATATATATATAATTGTAATGTGATGTTAAATTTTAATTTAGATCGTCAGAAAAGTGCTATCACTGCAGAAGATGTATTACGTTCAACTGGAAAAATCCGTAAATCATAATGTTCATGTATTGTTTGATAATTATAATTGAAGTGTTTCAATTTATTGTCTTCTACTTTTTTTGTATTTCTGTATTAAATACAAACTGGATTTTAACTATAACTATTCTTGTATGTACTAGTTTGTTTATGCATGCACTTACAAAGTTCAATTCTTTTAATTAGATTCAAGTTATGATTGTAATGAATTTGTCATGGTTAAACTAGCTTATGATCATCAACCTTTTTAGAAGTCAGACGAGATATTTTCAAATGTATCAAGTTAAACTGAATGGGTTTATTTCGTCAATGTTAGTGAATTCACGTTTCTCAAATGTGATTACTACTACTTTTCTGTTTTGTTTAAAGGCGTTATTAGATCCCTTAAGTTATATTTGACTAATCATTATTCAAATTACAAGTATATCCATTCATTCCTTAAATTAAGATGAAGTATATCAGAACTCAATATTTTGCTAAGCGCTATTTGACCACAGTTTAATTTTTACCATAAAGCTATTGAAAAGAGTCATGTATAGTATATAGAATAACTAAATCATCATTTCATGCAATTAGTTCCCTTTATGAATTTAAATAAAGCCAGAAAAAAAATATTGATGCAGAATAGTATGAATTCATCATATTTCGTGGTTTCTCATCAGCTGCTTACAACCAAATATGCATTAGAATTTTACATAGAGATAAGAAATAGCATGGAACAATTGACAATTGATTATATATATATATATATATATATATATATATATATATATATATGCAAGAACAGGTCAGAGGTTACTAGGTGTTAGAACCAAGTTGGTGGGTTCTAGAGACAGTTAAGATAAATTGTGTGATCATTTTAGAGGTAATAAGTTTATTACTGTCTCTTTTTGAATACCTAGATCTGGTTTAAGTTTTTCTTATCGCTATCGCTTCATCATTAATTGATTTAGTATAGTTGTCATTTAGTCGATAGATTTTCTTCTTAACGTGTCAAGTATAGCTTAATAGATCATTTCACTTTTGTACAATTTAGTATATCAGAATTTCTGTCTTTCTGTGTTTATGTTGTTATGGCAACAATCTCAAAGACGTTTAGATAAGTATCTTGGATAACATTTTTTTCGTATCTAAAGCACATAGATTACTTTTATAATATTCTTCTTTTTTCTATTTCGAATTGAATTATATCTTCCAACTTCATTATTAATTATTAAGTGATGAATACACTGCTAAAATTCTTATTAACGATAAAATGTTGGGAGATTGGTCACAAATAAATTTATTGGCTATGTGGTGTGTGCTACTTATATCCACATAAGTAGTATATAACGATGGTCAGGAATAGAATGTATTTCAGTAGAAAATCGAGTAGGAAAGAACGAGAGCGGAAAGCAATTAGTATAAAAATGCATGAACAGTTAAATCTAAGACGATGGACTGATATTTACAAAAGGAACAGACACCTTTGAGACAATGGATTGATATTTTGCAAATTAACTATTTATTGTATGGTTCTCAGATTTTAGTGAGATGTTCTGTAATTTTGTGCTCAAATACATTCGATTGTGCCAACTCCTGTTCTTGTTCACTACAGTTACACACTTTAATTATCATAGAGCTTCTCATGATATATATGTATATATGCTTTTTTTGTAAATCCGATTATATTTCCCTTCGTATTTAATCCCTTCAATTAAATGCTTGACTTTGCCTACTTACTCACTAGTTGATTTGTTCGTGGTAAATATGTTGTTTGTCTTTATTTGTTCATTTCATCTTCTCGTACATATCTCATTTTCTTTAATTTGATTTAAATGTGAATCGTGCTAAGCTAATCAATGAATAAATTAATTTAGTTTATGACTCCTCTCGTTTGTCATCCTGTTTTTTTTCAATAATTAGATGAAAATGAACTTCGAACGGCGGATGATACAAAAATTTTACAAGTTATTGAAGCATATTGCGCTAGTTCATGGACACATCCTAGTTATCGAACATGTAAGCTAATGTTTATTTTTTGTGGGATATTGTTTACGTTTAACACACTTACAATAGATGAAATCAATAATTGAACTATTTCTAGATACTTTCTTCAATAACTAAATCGCAATTCTAGTTTATCATTCACATATCATGCTTATGCTATCAGATCGTATGTTCAATTTCCACACGGTTGATATTTCTAAAAACTTTAGATATTAAATTGTTCACGGCTAACGTGAGTTGAATTAGGCTATGCTTTCATACATACGCAATGAGTGGTCCTTGAAAGCAGTAAACACTTGTTCTGCTTATCGTTTAATAATGAAATGGAAATTGAATATTTCCTTTGTTGTTTAACCGGGGATTTAATTCAACCATATTTAGATTTTAATCAAAATTAAACTTTCGTATTATTTAGTCAACTAAATTTCCAGCTTAACTATATATCAGTACTAATTATTTAGAGTTAATACCTAACGTAGCTTGATTGTAATTTGAAAAAGTTTACAATCTCAGGCTACATAGATTAATACCATACTTTCGTTGTCCTATACTTTCTTTTAAAACATCATCTTATTTTAGCTAATGTTAATCGAAAAATATCGACCAAGAAACGTAAATTCCTATCACCAAAAGATTTGATTCCCATTCTGGTATCTAATAACGAATACAGTGTTCAATATCCATCTGTCAGAGGAAGGATAAATACTACAAACTTTCCTTGTAGTTATAAACTTTTAATTTTGTATTCACTTAGTGTTGTTTACTTGTATCTTCCCATTGTTATTTAGGACTGCAATTGATCAGTCTCTTATTGGCATATGTACATCTTGTGCGGACTGCCGCGATATTGCCTGAAGTCACAAGCTTTATAAGCAAAGATCAATAGTGGCTAACAGTGGAATAGAGGAAGCGCGTTTTGTCGTATTTGGGACTCGTCAACTGGATGTACCTGCATCTCAGAGTTGATGTTCACAATATCGAGGCAGTCCGCACATCTGCCAGTAAGAGACTGATCAATCGCAGTCCTAAATAACAATGCGAAATTACAAATAAACAACGCCAAGTAAATATAACTTAACCGCATTGCACCGCCTAACAGGTGGCTATCAGGACTCAGTAGCTAAGTGAAAAACGCGATGGCGTTTGAAATGAACGGTACTGCGTTCGAGTTCCAGAGTGAACATCAACTCTGAGATGCAGGTACATCCAGCCGACGAGTCCCAAATAGGATGAAACGCTTATCGATCATCTGATTTGTTTATGAATATTAATTTAGATCTCTTGAAATATTATTCAGTTCTATGGTTAAAATTTTAAATTATTTACTTACTTACGCCTGTTACTCCTCGTGAAGGAGCGTAGGCCGCACACCAGCATTAGCCATCCAACCCTGTCCTGGGCAGTCCTTTCCAGTTGTTATTCATCTTTTTCATATCTGCTTCTATTATCCGACGTAGTGTGTTCTTAGGCCTTCCTCTTTTCCGCTTCCCTTCAGGATTCCAAGTTAAGGCTTGTCTCGTAACGCAGTTTGACGATTTGCGTAATATATGTCCTATCCATTTCCATCGTCTTTTCCTAATTTCTTCTTCAGCTGGAAGCTGGTTTGTTCTCTCCCACAGAAGGCTGTTGCTGATAGTATCCGGCCAATGGATGTTGAGTATCTTGCGAAGACAGCTATTTATAAATACTTGTACCTTCTTGATGGTGGTTGTTGTAGTTCTCTAAGTTTCAGCTCCATACAGTAGAACTGCCTTGACGATGGTATTGAAGATTCTGACTTTGATGTTGGTTGAAAGTTGTTTTGAGTTCCATATGCTCTTCAATTGAAGGAATGCTGTCGTTGCTTTGTCAATCCTCGCCTTAACGTCTGCATCTGAACCTCCTTGTTCATCGATGATGCTTTCCAGGTATGTGAAGGATTCTGCATCTTCCAGAGTTTCGCCATCAAGAGTGATTGGAATGCTGTTCTCCGCCTTGAATTTGAGGACCTTGGTTTTCCCTTTGTGTATTTTGAGGCCTACTGATGCAGAGACTGCTGCCACACTGGCTGTCTTTGTCTGCATCTGTTCGTGTGTATGCGATAGGAGGGCTAGGTCATCTGCGAAGTCCAAATCGTCTAGTTGATTCTGAGCTGTCCATTGTATTCCGTGTTTTCCTTCGGATGTCGAGGTCCTCATAATCCAGTCGACCATCAGAAGAAAGAGGAAGGGAGAGAGTAGGCAGTCTTGTCTGACTCCGGTCCTTACTTGGTATGCATCTGTCAGCTGTCCTCCATGCATGACTTTGCATTGTAGTCTGTCGTATGAGTTCCGGATAATATTGACAATCTTCTCAGGAACTCCGTAGTGTCGAAGAAGTTTCCATAATGTCCTCCTATCTACACTGTCGAATGCCTTTTCATAATCAATGAAGTTGATGTATAGTGATGAGTTCCACTCAACTGATTGTTCGACGGTGATCCGTATTGTCTCAATTTGGTCTGTGCACAACCGATCCTTACGGAATCCAGCTTGTTGATCTCGAAGTTGGGCGTCTACTGCATCTTTCATCCGGTTCAGCAACACTCTGTTAAGGGCTTTCCCTGGTACTGACAGCAGTGTAATGCCTCTGTAGTTTTCACATTTGCTCAGATCTCCTTTCTTTGGAATCTTGACGAGGTGCCCTTCTTTGCAGTCCATCGGCAGTTGTTCCTCCTCCCAAATCTTTTGGTATAGAAGGTGAAGCGTGTTTGTAGTTACTTCGATGTCTGACTTCAGTGCTTCAGCTGGTATATTGTCGGGTCGTGCTGCTTTCCCGTTCTTGATTTGTCTGAAGGCCATTCTGATTTCTTCCTTCGTTGGTGGGTTGACGTCTATGGGAAGATCTGTGTGTGCCGCTTCGATGTCCGGTGGATTCATTGGAGCCGGCCTATTTAGGAGTTCCTCGAAGTATTCTACCCATCTGTTCCGCTGTTCTTGAATTTCAGTGATTGGCTTGCCTTCTTTGTCTTTGACCGGTCTCTCTGGTTTACTGTATTTCCCTGATAGTTTCTTCGTTGTATTGTAAAGTTGTTTCATATTTCCTTCTCTTGCAGCTTTTTCCGCCGTCGTTGCTAGTTCTTCCACGTATTTCTTCTTGTCGGCTCTAATGCTCTTCTTCACTTGCTTGTTTGCTTCTATGTATTCAGCTTGTGCTTGGACTCTCTCTGCTCGTGTTCAGCTGTTGTTAATTGCTGCCTTCTTGTTCTTCCTTTCTTTGATCTTGTCCAGAGTTTCTATAGGAATCCACTCCGTATGATGGTGTTTCTTTAGACCGAGAACCTCTTGACACGTTGAAGTTAATGCTTCTTTGATGCCTTTCCAGTTGTCTTACATAGTAGTTTCTTCTTCCTTCAGTAGATCTTGTAAGGCTTGGAACCTGTTGTTGAGAGCTATCTTGAATTCATTGAGTTTTTCAGTATCTCAAAGGAAGGTAGTATTGAACCTTTGTATTGCTGTTTGTCCAGTTGTCCAGTTCAGTTTTAGCTTCAGTTTTAAATTGGCTACAACCAGGTGGTGATCTGAAGCTATGTCAGCTCCTCTCCTAGTTCTCACATCTTCCATTGTCCTTCGGAATTTTTTGTTGATGCAAATATGATCTATCTGGTTCTCTGTAGTGTAGTCCGGTGAGATCCATGTTGCCTTGTGTATACGCTCGTGTGGAAATATTGTGTCCCCTATAACCAATTTGTTGAATGCACATAGATTTGCAAATCTTTCTCCATTTTCGTTTCTTTCCCCCCGTCCATGTCGCCCATGATATCTTCATATCCGGTGTTGTCTATTCCGACTTTGGCATTTAGATTTCCCATCAGAATGGTTAGGTCCTTTCTTGGGCATTTCTCTATGATTGATTGCAGCCTCCCATAGAACTGGTCATTATTATCGTCGTTGCTATCATTGATGGTTGCATAACATAGGATAACACTCATTGTGTTCTCCTCCCTCTTTGTTTTGAATGATGCTTTGATGACTCTGGATCCTTGATATTCCCATCCTACAAGTGTATTTCGTGCTACTTTGGACAGCATTAGAGCGACTCCCTGAGTGTGTGGAGCATTTTCCTTTTCGTGACCGGAGTGTAGCAGCATCTCTCCCGTAGTTAGCCTTTTCTGTCTAGCTTGGGTCCAATGTGTTTCGCTGATTCCCAGTATCGCCGAATTGTATCGCCTCATTTCCGTTGCTATTTGACTGGTCTTCCCGGTGTCCCGCATTGTTTGGACGTTGCATGTACCTACAAAAGTTTTTGCTCTGGTTGTTAGAACGGGCATCGGCCTCGTGGCTTCCGAAGGAACTCGGCTTTCATTATGAAGCGTCATAATTCTTCTAAATGAAGACTTTCTAACTCCCAGGGCAGAGTTAAAATGGTTTGGATTAATTTTTCTGGTAAGCGTTTTTTAGCGAGTTAGTTTTCTACGGGATGGGGACGCTAACCACATGCCCAACCCTCCTCCTTTACCCGGGCTTGAGAACGGCAGTAACTCTAGAAGAGCTACAGGCGGAGTTAACATTCTAAATACGTCGTTTAATATTTCCAGTTCTCTTCAACAATGCACTGTAATTTAAGTTATATAAATCTTTGCACTTTCTGATTTTTCTTTTCTCTATGTTTAAAATTAGTGGACTCTGTAAAAAATGAATGTCAAATAGGTGGTCAAGGTATTCTATCGCCAGTTGAAAGCCGAACATTATTACAACATTTCCGATATCCTAAAAAGCCGTCTACATCATTTCTATCCACATCATCTTCGGGTATGCATTCAAGACAAGAACAAGGCTCACATATAACAGATGCTTCCATATTTGAATTGTCTCGACAAAGCTTACCTCTTTCTATGTTTAGTTCGAAAGCATCATTGAAACGATCTGAATCAAAGAATAAATCACAAACGTGCTTATCACAAGATGGTACGGTTTGTTTGAATCAGAATATGGCAGCTAATGTGATCAGTTCAAACAGTAAGATTATCTCCAGTGTTGCAACTAATTCTAGTTGTACTAACTGTACTCCATGCAATTCTAATCAATCTTCCAGTTATACGCATAACATACAATGTGAATCAATTTTAAAAACATTTTCACCACCTCCAGTAATTCTACCAACACACAGTGGTCGACGTTAACTTAATGAATTATCCATGTTTATTTTGTGATCTATATTTGTTTACTTCAATTTCATCTCTATCATTACGGCTCATTTCATTATTTTTAAATTAAGGCATTTAGTTATTTACTTGTTTTGTTATCGGATTTAGTATTTGTCATTTGTTTATTATTATCATCATTTATTTACTTTTTCTTCTTTTAACACCTAAGCGATAATATTCTCAATATCCTTATAATTTTCATCATTGTTTTTTATTAATGATAAATATTTGTCTTTTTGTTCAAGTTATTGAATTTGTTTTATTGTGTATTCACTATTCAATTTAGCTGTTGATGGTATTGTTACTACAACAACAACTACTACTACTACTAGTACTATTACTACTACTGCTACTACTACCACTACTATTACTCCTAGTGATATTATTATTATTATTATCACTATTATCTTTATTATTACCTATACTGGTGACATTATTCTATTAATAAAGATTGAAATCAGTTTCATAATTTCTTTTTTCTTATGAAAGTTAAATTTTTAAAAGTAGTGACAATTTATCTAAAATTCTTTACACACTACTCCAAAGACAAGGAATATTTAAAGGTACAATTGTTTATAATATCTTCATCAGATTCTACGATTATAGATTCATAATAAATATTATTTCAATGGATATTTATGTTGTGCTTGAATTATACAGTAGTGAATTATTATGTCGATTACAATTCAAGTGCATATAACATGTGTCATCTGTTAAGTTCCACGTTCATGTAAGAAAAGATGAAGTGGTAAGTTATAATTGATTATAGTTGATGGACGTACTAACATAAATGGAATTCTATTTGGTAGACCCATCTCAGACATGATCTTTAGTTTATACTATTGTTATAACTTGTGCCCTGTATCTTATTAATGTATAAAGTAACGACACTGACAATTAGAGAGCAGTGATTTATCTATCGGACCAATGACGCATAAAACCCGTGCAAGCAGTCTAGAGTACTTATTGGTCCTGCTTCCCGCCTAGCCCAGCCAGTTATGTCCAGAACACCAATCTCAGCCTCGCGATGTGAATCGTTTATTTCAAGACCAAATCGTACCATAAAATAGGGAAAAACATTTATACAAGATTTAGCCAATTGTGGCTGTGAATGAGGAAGACTAGTCAATAGGCTGGGCATAATTCAAGAACGGTAAATCATACAGTAATAGTTTATGAGCCAAATTAAAGCTCATAATAAGAGGAACACGAATATGGATAGTTTAGTTACTGAACAATTATACGATAAAAGTAGACGTATGATGTTCGTCTATTCACTGTTCTCATCCGGATACAACAACTATAAAACAACTATTTTTAAAATATAGACTAACCACTCATCATTTCATCTAGATTGGGAAAATGACTCAATAACATTTGAAGCTCATTTGATTTCTCGAACTTTCATCGTGATATAGTAAGTGCTTGTGTTTATCCTGATAAAACTAAGTTTCTATAAACTTTTAGGCCCATATGCATGTTCAGAAGTTGGATCTACCGATTGTCCATTTAGGTACTCTATTAATATTGAATTTACAAGCCTCTACAAAACCTATAAAATTAATTAATATTTGAGTCCATTGTTACGTTCAGTACTTGATTAACGCAGAATACTATATACAGCTGATAACACTCGAACGTATAGAACCCCCACAGTCTCAAATAAGAAGACACAAGAAGCAGAAAAAGTGGTTGTTGAGTAAGAATCAAAAATGTACAAAAAACATGTGTATTTATAGTTATTAGCGTTGGTTATAACATCATTATAATTCAGCCAATCCACAAGGAGGTAAGTTTGCTGTAGTGAACGAGAACACAAGTGGGGACAATGGAATGAATTACAGGACTTCTTAGCAAAATCTGAGAACCAAACAGTAAGTGCTTAATCAGCAAAAATGTCATTGAATTGCCTCAGACTGCACTCTTCCTTCAATTTCTACTGCAATCACTCTTTGTTCTCGTCCTCTTTCCTTCACTCTTCTTAACCTTCCGTTGCCAAACATTTCACTTTCGGTTGATTATACATACTACTTATATCTGTCGACATCAGTAGCAGACACCACAATGCTACTGTCCGTTCATAGCATGCCACGTTAATATTCTTCAGACCTCCATCAAATTCTGATTAGGTAGAAAATCTTCGGCTCCTTTAGGACCTTTGGAGCCCCTGTTTACTGAACAAATCATAGTAAAACATTTATTTCCGTTTTTCTTATGCGATCTACCTCACAACAAATCGAATTCTCACTGGACGAAAAAATTACACTAATGAGTTTCATAGAAAATTGCTTATTTTCACTAGAATAAAATTTAATTTCTAAAAACGCTAATTCATAAGTTTTTTAAATACTTTGGAATTAACTCACTGATTGGTAACGAATAATTCACTCGGAGTTATGTTTTCTAGTGCTAGATTTTCAAACTAGAAAATGAATGAAAACTGTTTATTACAATCATGTTTATTATCAGTGACAGTTCGCGGTCCTATGGCGAATCAACAACCAATAGATTGTTGTTTTGTTTTGTCGGACTTAGCAGTTGCTCAATTTATACGAAGTAAACACTCCCGTGTTCAATGGTGGTTATCATCAAATAACTAGATGTCTAGCCGTTCCTTGCGTACAATTGGAAACAACTGTTGATATCGATCATCTGTTGTCACTGCTGGGTTTGAAAGCAAAATCAAAAGAAGTAGGATTCAAATTGATTTTTTTAGATGTTAATAACTAGTATTCAGATAATCAATATGGAATTCATATAAATTGAATTTTAATAGTATGGTCTTCAATAATACACAACAAGGAATACACAAATTTTTTGGATAACAATTAGCTCTTAAAACATCTTTTGGTGCATTATCTTAATTTGTACACTTGAAAATTGGACATAGTGACGTCAATACACGGCTGTATAAAACTGATCTGATTACTAAAGTATTTATATCGATTATTTGACGACTTTATGGAGGGACTCCTAACAATCGATCTTTATTTCCCAGACTAAAAGCTTCCAGAAGTATCTGTTAAAGAAATTGGGATTGATGTGGTCTTAGTGACCTCAGAGGGTGGCCTCAGTGCCCAAGAGAGAACTTGTTTTCCAACGCACTATGTTGTACAGGATCTAGAATGATTGAACAATCGTGATTACAAGGATTTTAATGAGCGTCTGTGTTATTTGTACTAGCTGATTGGGCGCTTATCACGGATTCTAAATATTTTACTTCCAGTTGTGCTCGTCCAGTTCTGTCAGTCTTAAGTTGAATTATTCTCTAGATTCATAGTTAGCACGTTGATTCGGATACTTGAATAGTATTTTGTTGAAGATATAACAATAATATATTTCTGCAATGGCAGGTATATGCCATTTTTACAGGCATGGTCTGTAAATTGCAACATTTATCGTTTCTTAGTATACACGTTAAATAATTATAGTCTATAAAAAGGAATATTAGTTCATTCCTTCAGATATACTGAGTAATCTTCAAAATATTCTCCAAAGTGGCATCGCGTCCACGTTACACACGAGATCCAATCTCCGCATTATTGTGTTAGGATTTTGGTCGTGCTAAGTATTTATGCAATGCAACTTTTTAAGTTTATAGTTGTTAGAAAGTAGACTTGTAGAGCGTCGGTGTGAACTATGACCTTGGGAAAACACGTACGTCTAGTTTATTCCAGATGTCAGGAGTTCCATAGCTGTGCTTTGAGAACATGATTCTTAAAAAAAGAGGAACTGAGGAGCAGCGAGGCACTTGGATATGAACGATAAACAACACTGAACATGAGAACATCAGAAATGTTTTGTGGTCACTTTGGATTGGTGGATGATAGTTAGGTGGCTGAAATGAAATCAGAACCTGGATTATCTGTTAATAGTGATTTTAGACATTTAGCTAAATAACTACAGAATTGATTTCCGGTTAAATTGTGATTTCCCCAAAAGATCAAGTTGAAACAGGAGTGATATTGTCACTTTGATTTGAGTCTCTTACAGACTGCATTCATAAACACAGCTCACCTTATTGACAGGTTGTTACAACGTTGGGACTACGTAAAAATAGTTTAAGAGATTCGGTTTACAATCGATAAGGTTATTTTGGTGTTAATGTATCGAGTAAAGAACCTTAGGGAAACTGACTAGTTCTTCATCTGTGTTTACGACACGAGAATTCGTGCCAAAATAGAGTAAATGTGACTGTAGTGGCTGGTACTTTATCCAGTCCACATAGTGTATGCTAGCTTTTGGACAGGCCAATTTATTCATTCGCCCCAAGCGACGTTTCGACTCTCCTGGTTGTTCGCTTATTAACTCCGATTGTTTTTATATGATCGCATGTGTGCTAATTACTTACCCAACTCATCACCCGTCAGTAAATTATTTTTGTCTGGATATAAATACTAGGTCACTCGCGATCAAAACGCGGTGGCCCACCCGCTTTCTCCTATGCGCGTCATTTCGTTTCGTTTCGTTTCATTTCTCTGGTTGTTTGTCTGAACCAATGGGTGTATTAAATATACGTAACCAAAATTCATTCTTGTACTCGGTTTATTTTATTCCGTTAGTCTCTAATTCAAACTAAATCAATTAAGAATATACGAAGGTTAGAGACATTAGTGGTTCGATTTAACTGGATTCAGATATCGGACCAACAAATGACATTACTATCAGGGAATGCTGTAAACTACTCGAATTATTGACCGATGGTTATGAATGGATGGGCTTCCTGTTTTCCCAGTGACTTAAAAAGTCGTTCGTCTGTGAATTCACAAGTATCTGTGAACACATGCAGTGTGGTTATTCATCTACCTGAGAGGTAAGGAGGACATGATTGCATAATGATTTGGAATAGGGAATAAACAACTGTGCATCACTTACTAACGAATCCAGGGGCTTCCTTTATTGCATGAATGATGATACGTTGTTGAATAGTAAAGGCTTTGAACTTTAAAAATTTAATCATACGACTGACCTTGGTATGGCAGAATATTTTGAGAAGTATGAGGATATTGCTGGCTATATTAGTGATAGTTTACCATGAAACTTAGAATATGTTGGCGCATAACTAGAATCATATGATGTCATATACTTTCAAGATATAAGGCGGTGATTGATATTGTAGTGACCTACGCGATTCGTATAACGGAAACAATTATTATAAGTGTGGTGCTTGAATGGACTAATGATACCTTTGTACTTGTTGAATGCTTGATTTCGAATTCCAGATACAATACATTCGTTTGTGCTTGTGTCTCACTTCTTAATTCAATTGCGTTATTTCTGGGACTCTTAGTTCGTGCTATAATTCAAATAATTCAAAACATTATAATAACCAACTGTAACAGGGATGTTTTTACTGTACCTGTTTGTTTAGGTGTAAGAAAAATGCTTTTCCGTTGTTTGTAACCTTGCACGAACTCTTGTACGTTCGTAAGTCTCGTTTGTAGATTTTGACACGATTTCGGC